CAAATTATTTTTCTGTCAATCCGACCCGCTTCCGCTTGATACTCTTACACAACGCTTCTGGGAGTTAGAAAGTGTTCCCTCTAAAACGCATATGAGTAAAGACGACGAGATTTGTGAAAACAATTTTAAATCGACTTATTCTCGAGATAATAAAGGTCAATATACCGTTCACTTACCATTTAAATTACCGCCTTCGAAATTAGGAAATTCATACGCTATTGCAAAACGTCAGTATTTACAATTGGAAAAGAAATTAGATTCACAGCCCGATCTACGTAAAGATTATAACTCCACAATTCAAGATTATATTGATAAAGGGTATTTAAGTATAGTAAAAAATCCTACATACGACTCTGAACATTATTACATTCCGCACAGAGCTGTTTATCGCCCTGATAAACAGACATCAAAAACACGCATAGTCCTCAACGCTGGTTGTAAGACCACGTCCGGATTATCACTGAACGACATACTTTATACAGGTTGTAATTTACAAACTAATATTTTTGATTTGTTGATGAATTTACGCATGTTTGCTATTGGTGTAACGGCTGACATAGAACGAATGTATTTCTGTATTAAACTCACGTTTGATCATCAACCATTTCAACGCATACTTTTTAGATTCAATACTGAAACTAATATACAAACTTATGAATTTAACAGAGTCTCATTCGGAGTCTCTAGTTCTCCCTTTCTCGCGATGAGGGTTGTGAGACAACTGGCTTCAGATAGTCGCACTGAATATCCTCTCGCCGCCCACGAGGCTGATAATCACATGTATATGGATGATTATGTATCGTCATTAGATGGTCTAGATGCAGCCGAAAAAACATATCAAGAGATGATTAATATGTTTTCTTCGGGTGGATTTAAATTAGTAAAATGGGTGTCCAACTGTAAGGAATTTATGACTAAAGTAGACAATTCGCATAAAAATCCGCAATTTGTAACATTTGACTGTGACTCAAACGCAAATACAAAAATTATAGGTATGCAATGGAATCCTAAAGAGGATAATTTTAAATATAAAATAAGTACAGATTCATCACAATGTACCAAACGCACTATTCTCTCTGTAACCGCACGTTTATTCGATCCATTAGGATTGCTAGGCCCGATTACCGCATTTTTAAAGCTTCTAGTTCAGGAATGTTGGATGAACAATCTGGACTGGGATGCACCTACCCCATCCTCCATATCTAATAAATGGTTGAAGTTTCAATCTGAACTTCTATTTTTGGAACAGATTGAAATTCCTCGTCATGTAGGTATAACACGCAACTCACATGTAACTCTTATCGGATTCGCAGACGCTAGTGAGTCCTGTTATGGCGCCGTTGTTTATATCAGAGTGAGTAATGATGTCCACTCTGACGGTGTTGTCCATCTCCTTTCTTCTAAGTCTCGCGTTGCTCCATTAAAAAAGATATCTCTCGCACGCCTTGAACTTTGCGCCGCCTTATTACTCGCTAATCTCCTCTCCGCAGTTCATGAGGTACTATCTAAACGCTGTCATATAGACAAGATATTCGCATTTTCAGACGCAACCGTAACACTCACATGGATTCATTCTCCCGCCTATAAGTTTCATACATTTGTAGCGAATAGAATAACTGAAATTAATTCAAAAATTGCCGCTTCCCATTGGTTTCACATCGACGGTAAAGAAAATCCCGCAGATATAATATCACGCCCTGTAACGCCGAAGGAATTATTTAATAATAAAATCTGGTTTTGTGCCCTTCCTTGGATTTCCCTGCCACTAAAAGACTGGCCTATAACTCAATTTAAATTAAATTCATGTTCTGACGAAAGTATACCGGAGACTAAAACCACTTCATTAAAAGCAAATATAATTAATAATGAAAATAATAATCCTATGCAAATTATCATTGACCGCTATTCGAGTTATTCGAAACTTTTACGTACAACTGTTTATATATTACGTTTTACGAAACATTTATGCACCCGAGGCACTATAAATAGAACAGATTTAGATACCGCGGAATTATATATTATACGCTTCATTCAAAATAAACATTTTTCTCAAGATATTTTATCTCTTAAAAAACATAATATTTGTAATAACAAACCGCTTAGAAAATTAAATCCCTTCATTGATGACAATAACATACTTAGAGTTGGAGGTAGGCTATCTCAATCACAGCTTAATTGTGATCAAAAATACCCCATTCTCCTCCCTTATAAGGATCGCTTAACTCAACTTATTGTTGATTATTTTCACATCTCTAATTTACACACTGGTCCCGCTTTGTTACTCGCTTTAATTAGACAAAAATTTTGGATATTATCCGCTCGCAATCTAATTCGTCAGAGAGTTCATGCCTGTAATATATGTTTTAAGATAAATCCTAAAAATAATTATCCCCCCATGGGTGATCTTCCCACTTTTCGCATTTCTGAGGTGAAAGCTTTCGTTCACACAGCAGTGGACTATGCAGGTCCATTTTTTATTACGCATATACGCCGCAGAGGTATTAAAAGTCAAAAGGCATATATCTGTTTGTTCGTTTGTTTAACGACAAAGGCATTACATTTAGAATTGGTCACAGACTTAAGTTCAGATCTATTTTTAGCAGCGTTTAAACGTTTCATTTCACGCAGAGGCCCTGTCGCAATGATATATAGTGACGGTGGTACTAATTTCATTGGCGCTAAGCATAAATTAGATAATATTTACACTCTTTTGCATTCTAAAGCTCATATAAATTACATAGGTGATCAACTTTCACAACAACGTATTCAGTTCAAACATAGTCCGCCATATGGTCCGCATTTTAATGGTTTGTGTGAAATTAATGTCCGTTGTGTAAAAACACATTTGAATAAAGTAATAGGTACACATATACTCACCTACGAGGAGTTCAATACCGTATTAGTGCAGATAGAAGGATTACTAAATAGTAGACCGCTTTGTGTGTTGAGTTCTGATCCGTCTGATTTAGCCGCACTTACTCCTAACCATTTTTTAAACGTCACGCCCTTAAAATTTTTACCCGCCGAGGATTATGTTGAATACGCTGATAATCGCCTTACTCGCTATCAATTACTGAATAAAATAACGCAGTCTTTCTGGCGGAGGTGGAGTCAAGAGTACCTCACTTCCCTTCAGCAAAGACAAAAGTGGAATACACCATCTACACCTGTTCATCGGGGTATGGTTGTCATAATTAAAGATAATAATACGCATCCACTATGCTGGGCTCTGGGTGTTATTGATGAACTTTATCCTGGTAAAGATAATATCGTTCGTACTGTGCGCGTTAAAACTTTATCCGGAACTTATATTCGACCTGTAGTTAGGATTTGCCCCTTGCCTCTCCAGTAATACAATTAATTTTCGTATATGCATGCATTTTTTTTTTTTTATCGTTCGCTTATTTTATTTTAATTTTACTTAATTACCGCATTCAATTAACTTACTTTGTTTAGAGGAAAACCTCTAGGCCAGGGAAGTTGTTTACGCCGAAACGTAACATTATTTCATTTTTACCTATACTTTCCTTACGCAGCGATAGTTCGACCAATACTCTATTTCACTCACACGCAGCCGCGCATCTCGTTCATTCATTTTTAACTACCAATATAATAGAAACAAGCGCGCGTTTTAATTTGCATATCTGTCTCACTCACGCATACTCATCCCATGTATGTCCTTCCTTGTCCTACTTCCTGAAACCATGCAACATGTCAAAGGACAAGAAGAAAATAGAAAGACGACTTCCGCCCAGTTAGTTCAAGTTCAAGTTCACCGCCGGCCGCCATCGCTAACGCTGCTCAATTCGCTATCCGCCTGTACAAAACTATTATACAATAAACGCATAAAGTGAGAATAAATCCGTAATGTGTTGTGTTTGTTAATCAAGAAGTTTTAAGAAAAACATTATAAAAATATTAGTCTTGGTGAATAGAAAATAGAACCAGCGCCGAGAATCATCGGGAGAAGTCGAAGAAAGAATTCACCGGTGAGCTCCTTTTGTCCTTTCTACCTATTCACTTCCAGTTATATATATATTTATGTTCGGGTTGTACCGAAACTATAAAGATTCTGATAGGTAACTGATAAATGATACTGATAGAAACTTGATTAAAACTGTATATTGAAACTTAAAATATAACTGATTCATGATTGTAATGAGTACGCGCGGCGTCCTTGATGACCGAATGCGAACTGATTTTAATGAAATGAGAAATGTAAAATAAAATGTTTATGTTGCGATATAATGTACGATGCTAGCTCGTACAATTTAGATGAATTATTAAAAAAAGTGGTAAAGCAAGCACGATTATTACACGCGGGATTGCACCCACTGTTCGCGGCCGCGGTCTTTCACGTTCACTTCTATCTATATTTACATGCACAGCAGGGATGTTATGGATATGAAATTTCGGATACGGATAGGTTTCGGACATAGGAATGATTATTATACCGGATACGGATACGGATGCGGATGTGAAATTATTTCGGATCATCCGCTAGTTTCGGATAATTTCGGTTACGGATATTATTTTTTAAGGAATTTCAAAAGTAACAAGTAACTAATAAAATGGTTACATAACGTGTCTCAATTAGGCTCCGCCCCTATCCGATATTAACCGGATCTCGCTATAAAGTTCAAACTTGTGGCGGCGTGGTGGGCCGGGTCGATGTGCTCCCTCTAATATGGTTGAATGCAATGGTGGGGACTGGTCTGTTCAGGTTGCGAACACTGATTAGATTTTTTGTTTTTTTATATAGCATATGCTGGTGGTCACTCTATTCTCCCAAATTTGAATTTAAATGAATCTGTATATTTGTATATATGTACAACATTTATTGAAAAATAAAATACGATCTGAGTTTCTTGTCAGTTCTTCTCATCTCGAAATCATTCCGAACTGACGGTAGATTTGACATATCATAAGAGTCTGTAATAGACCTACATGAATGAAGATATTTTGAATTTGAATTTGAAATCAATTTACCTGTTTTTTAGTGCCTGGTAATCGCTGGAGTGATGGTGCACAGTTTGGTGCTTGACTTCAGCGACATACTACTGCCGCCATTACACCAAGACCCCAACATGAATATTTATATCGAATCCTGGATAGGTAAGACAAGTATTTGTCTTCACTAGTTTCATCCTGTGGTACTGCCCGTTTAGGCCTGTGTAGTGTGTCGCTAAAGTCAAGTAGACTTTAGCGACACACTACTGCCGCCATTACACCAAGACCCCAACATGAAAATGAATATTTATATCGAATACTGGGTAGGTAAGATAAGTATTTGTCTTCACTAGCTTCATCCTATGGTACTGCCCGTTTAGGATTTAGACTATGTTACTGGTTGGTTACCGAGATTTATTTTTCAAGAATTTTATTGGGAATTTTTAGTGTTGATGATTCTGATGTTTCAGTGATCACCACTTGGATCCGAGTGCGACAGAGCCATAGTGGCAGTGCCTCCCACTCAGATCTGAGCGAGCGACCCGTTCATTTTGTAGTATTCAGTAAGCCACCGGATTCTGCGTTGTTATCCATATTTTTTAATATTCTTATATACTTAATAGAATAGAAAATCATTTATTCAAATAAACTATAATAAACAAATTCTATAATAAACTTCCAGAATGTACGCTAAATCTTACAGAGAGGCAATTCAAATTTTATATTAAACAAATGTTACGTAAAAAAGCCTATTATAGGATAGATGAATTTATAGATGATAGCAATATATAGCAAGTATAAGTTTATTTGCGGACAACGTTATAATTTATTTTTCATACTGCTTTCTTGATATATGATAGCGTAGCGGCTTTTGTATTGATTGCCGCATGCATCCTCATGTAAAGTGCGAATACTGTAACTACCATATAGTAATTTCGACTTGTAAACGTAAACTTACAAGGACTATTTAAAAGAGCAACACACAAGTTTCTTTCTCGTTCTTTTTGTGATGAGACAGCTTTCCGAACGAGTGGTAGATAAAAAACAAATTGTTATGACTATTCAAAAGTGCTTAAATTAAGTTTAGAAGCTAAGTTTAGAATAAATTTAAATTAAGCACTTTTGAATAGTCATAACAATTTGTTATGACTATTCAAAAGTGTAGTGTAGTGTAGTCATAACAAAAGTAGCCTAAAGAACTAAAAATTATTTGTTCTTCTTAATTTATTCGTTGCATTAGGTACTGATAGGTTCAAACTAATACGTTTACATCCTGCATCATCCCTTATTTTATCCCCATGGGGGTTGAATTTATCAATATCCTATTTAACCGAACGTCTTCATCATAGTAGCTCCAATCTTTAATTTCAGTTCAATCACTCGAAAACCTAAGATGATTTATACAAACTTTCATCCCCTATTTTATCCCCTTGGGGGTAGAATTAATCACATTCCTTTCTTGGCGAATGCCTACGTCATAACACCTACTTGCATGCCAAATTTCTACGATCAAAAATTCAGTACGATCAGACCAATGGTTTGGGCTGTGCGTTGATAGATCACTATGTCAGTCATCTTTGAGTTACATATATTTAGATTCGTTAAGTAACTAAACTCATTTTCATTCTTTTCAGAGTCGATCAACGGACTGTCATTTTTCCCGGGCGTGATGATAGGTCCCTTCATAATGAGGAAATATGGACGACGAAAGACAAACCTTGTCAGTGCGATCATAATGATAATCGCTTGGTCTTGTATTTTTGCAACTTCATATGTAAATTTAATATTAGCATCAAGATTCCTTCAGGGTATAGCATTAGATCTATCTAGTATGTCAGCAACCGTATTAATAAGTGAATACACTACTCCAATATACAGAGGTGCTTTTTTATCTGTAATGACATTGACTCTGCTGCTTGGAGGTTTAATAGCATATATGATAGGATCCTTCTTAATTTGGAATCAAGTAGCGTTATTTTGTTTATCCATAGCAATATTAGATGCAATAATTATAACCATATCACCAGACACTCCAGTTTTTCTAGCCACAAATGCTAGATATGATGAGTGCAGAATGGTCTTCCACTGGCTAAGAGGTTTTGATGAAAAAGACGAATTAGATGCTATGATTAAAGCTGCTGTAATAAAAAAATCTATAAAATGTGAACCAAATAAGAGTAGTTTAAAAGATAAAGTACTGCATGTTATAAGTTTTATAAAGAGACCAGATTTTTACAAACCTCTGATTATAATGTTGCATTCAGATATATTAGAATTGTGGTGTGGATATATGATAATAGAAACATACGCGATAGATATACTTACCATGTTATTGGGTGACGATATTAATGTACCCACTAATATTATGATCATAGATGTTTTAAGGATTATATTCTGTTTATGTGCAATACCAATACATACAAAAATAAACAGGTGTACTGCATTAAAACTATTCATTGGTTTGAATGTATTAAGCTACATGTTCCTATCAGGTTATGCGTATTTGAAAGAGCAACATTTCTTCAAAGATTTTATTGTAGGTTCCTCACTATTGTACTTACTTGTATTTTCATTCTCGGCTGGATCTATACCATTAGTGTGCACAGTATCTAGTGAAATATTTCCTTTAGAATATAAAGAAGTATCTACTATGATAACAACACTGTTCGCATCTTTAAATATTACATTAAAAATTAAAACGTTTCCATACTTAATCGAGGCAATAGGAATGCATGGAACATTTTTAATGTATGCCATACTGTTAACCTACGCGTTGATAGTTACATATTGTATGTTACCGGAAACAAAAGATAAAACTCTGCAAAATATAGAGGAAGAGTATTGGATAAAACCTTCTCAGGAGACTAATTCACAGATACAGAACGAGGAATGCCTACATATCTGTAATTCTTTATCTCTTATTGATTAAGAATTCTAGAGGATTATTGTTTGTTATTTTCATTATGATATAATTTTTTTGTATTAATTATTCAGTTTTAATTTTATTTTAATATACATGGTGTAGAATTCCATAAAATGTTACTAAAGCAATATAAATAGAACAATGTAACAATGGCAGGGTTGCTATTGGGTGTCTGTTGAAATAAATACTAAAAGAATTCTAGATTATCTAAAGTGGTTAGATAATCTAGAATATTTTTGTAACAATTTTATTTGTCAATGTAAAAAAATCTAGAAAGTTGTGAAATTAATATAACAATTACATATATTCTGTACATATTTATAAGAAAAATGTATCGAAGCATATAATATAACAAAAGCTTTGCTTAGCTTAGCACTAGATGGCAGTGAACTGTGCAGGATGATTATTATTAGAGGTATTTTCAACAGTTAATCAATGAAGAAACTATTTAGAACCTTCATGTTCAATATACATTATATGCATTATTAACCGGGTCTTAATACGAATAATTTTATGGCAAATAAAGGTATTTACCTCTCTCGACGTTTCGACTAGGTTGCACTAGCCGTGCTCGGCTACGGTTATTATTATAGATATACATACGGTTATTATTCGTGTTAAGACCCGGTTAATATTTCAAATAATGAAGGAATTAACTTTTGAATTACCGTTTTCCATTACATTTCTAAAACACACTTCATTTTAGACAAGACATTTATTTATTACAATTAAAAATGTAGCATTATCAAACAACATTCAAGGTCAGACTTACTGTATATTGTACAAGACAATGTTTAATTATTTGAATTAATTCCGCAGCATGTATAATATAAATTTATACTTATATTGTAAATACAATAATCTGACAGTTCTATATATAAAAAATATACCTAAGTATTAAATACTTAGGTATAATTTTTAGGCCTAAGGCTTGAAACAGACAAATGGTATTGTTATTTGTATAAAACTGTGATAATAGTATTTATAAACGCAGGATATTGACAAATAATTGTGTGCATAGAATTAGTGCACAAAATTATGTATTTAGAATATTTTTCCCCTAGTGCAAGCTCGTCTCACTCGTATATGAAATTATAAGTTCAAACACAAATGAAGAACTACGAGTAGAAGCACTTATATGTAAGTGCCTTTTCTCTTAGTTCTATGATATTAATCATAGATGAAAGCTAACTGCTTTTTTACCTTGTGGAAAATATTCGGATGACCACCCGCAACCGGAGGGGTCATGAACCGGGTGGTGAACTACATGGTGTACCTAGGAGCACCATAATTGCAGTCACGAGACCACGTTGCATTCTACCGCGATTCCGGCGGTGTTGGAACCCTTTAGAACTACGGCACGCCCCATCTCGTTGTTAGGGCGACCTATATCGGCCTACTATACCGGCCTATAATGATTACTCGTTGCCAAAAACGTAGTTTTAATTGCTCTCTATAAGTAGATTAATTTGGCACTAAAGCAAAGAACTATTTAATAAGAGTTTTTTAATTTTATTTGAAGACCTAATGTATCTTCTCTAATTAAGATTTATTTTAAAAGTGCATTGAAGAATGAAGACTCCAAGATTTTAATTATGTTTTTAATGTATTTGTGATTGAAGATACTCTTGTTCATCTATATACTCGATGGTTATAATAAAATAATAATGATATGTATTCTAGTGTAATGTTTAAAAAATCATATTTATTTGTTTCTTTATAATTACTGTTCATCACATTATGGAAAAAAATATTTATTTATAGATTGCGCTTGTAAATTATACGTACGTACAATGGCCTTGCAGTGGAAGAATACGATACCCGCATATGTCATATGTATAAATATTTATGCTTTTCTACAATGCTCGCTGTGGATGGTGATATATGAGTTTTTGAAATCGTAATTTCAGACCTCCTGTATCCATAAAATCCATCCTTAGAAGCATAACTAATTCTTAGCATTCCTAATATCATTATGATAATATCACCTTTCGAAGAGCATATTCACATCCAACATGACAGACTCTGAATATATAACGGTTTCTTGTAATAATTTAGTATCTTACGCTGAAATAACTAAATATTTTTCATAGAACAATCAACAGTAAGTTTCTTTCCTCTAAACTCCTCTTCTATATCTAAAAGTGTCCTATCCTTAGTTTCAGGTAAGAATATACCAACTATTATAAGACAGTATAACACTAAACCTGAATACAATAAGTATGTCCCGGAGAACCCGATTGTATTGAATAACAATATTATGGTCTTCATACTGATGAAAAGATTCATTGACATACAAAACGTGGTGATTCCTCCACATAATCCTTTGTATTTTAATGGGAATACTTCACCAGCAAGTACATAAGCCATGGGTAATGCGCCTATAGCTATAGAAAACATTTGCAAGTATATCAGCAACATTCCAATATAAGGATAATCATTTTGCAGCAAAATTGTTTGTTTAGCAAACGAATAACCGGAAATAAAAATTAATGTTGCTAAGTTAATACCAACAGTTACGAATATTAAAAGCCTTCTTCTCATTTTCTTTACTAAAACCAAACCTACAATATTTGACAGTATCCTCAAAACGTCCGTGGAAATAATAGTCAGAGCAATATCTGACTCAGAACCTACTAAGTTTTCTGTAAGATCAACTAGATATGACGTTAATATATTTATACCACTCCATTGCGCCATTGCAAATACGTGAAACATTATGAATACAGGCAAATAAAACGTTCTATTCTTAACAGTTTCCTTTACGTATCTTACACTGTTATTAACTTTTTCTCCAATGTTATCGTGTGTTGTTATATCTTCGTATACTTCAGTAACAATAGTTGCTGCTATCATCTTTTCTAATTCCTCTTCTTCCTTATCACCTCTTAAATATCTAAATACATATTTACATTCTTCATACCTCCTTTGTTCGGCTAACCAACTTGGTGACTCTGGTGATAGTATAACTATAATTATATCTGCTATTGCAATACCAATGCACACATAAGAGCATATCTGCCAATTTATATAAATTCCCATTGTGTGAATCACAAATACTCCAATACTTATTGAAATTGAAATCGTCATAAGAAATGCCCCACGATTTCTTGGACTAGTATATTCTCCGATAAGAACGGGACCTAACGTAGTTATCATACCTATTGAAATTCCTTGTAAAAACCTTGCAGCTATCATTATGTTCACGGTGTTAGACAAAACAATGCACACCCATCCTACAATACAGCCCAGGACACTTGTGAGGTTTGCAATTTTTCTTCCATATTTGCTCATTATCGGTGGTACTATAAAGTTGCCTGCAATTATACCGAAACTGGGAAGTGCAGCTGGAATGTAAAAGAATAAGTGATTACATTTATAAATCAATTAGAGAATTAGAGTACTAATTTATAAAAACATATTGTATGGGACAACATACCATTACTCGGGCAATCTTTTGTCCAATTCAACTCGTAAATTAAGACGGTCTGAACCAAAGCTCAAACCTCTAGCAGTGCCCTTAAACTAAAGTCGTGTCTGTCACGCAGGCAATGGACTTCAGCTGCTCCATAAGTCCTTCGAGTTTGGAGTGCCACCTGTACTCGTCATTATTCGAAGAAGCTGTAAGGGCCAGATGCGGCCGGATTAGCCTTAGAATAGTAAACAAAAATCCAGGATTATCCGGAAGAATTATTAACATTGTAATCAAATCTGATCTTTAAGCCAAACCAGGTGTTTGCGCAATTCCCTTTGTATAGTTTAGTTTCTTGTTGGTAATTACGAATAAAATCCTTTGATAATAATACGTATTTAGTTTTAATAGTTTAATCTTTACATCTAGACACGCGGTAGCGTGTCAAGCCGAGTTTCAAGTAAACTGGCAAGCAGCACCGTGTGTATATTTACACGAACCATTTGGAGCCACTTTTGACGCCCTCATAACTCAAAAACTAACAATGACAAGACAAATTCGAAGCCCCGAGTGAAGTTGTTGCCAGTCCTATAGAGGGAGGCAAACCGTGTTCCACTGGGGGGAAGGGGATTGTTAGTAATGTGGACTCTTGACCCCATTGCTATCAATGTACTATGTCAGGTTGACCTCTACGTAGTTCCCCCTGGAAACCATCGTGATAAATTACATGTGAATTTGTCACGATGGGCTAACTGACCTGACCTCATGCTCATCTTATCATCCTCCACTGGTGCCCCGCCAGCGTAAACCGTTAGCGCAGGCGGGTGCACCATTTCATTATCACATAAAAAAAAAAAAAACCGTGTTCCACTTCACATTGATGACGCATTTGATTCCTTATGAGTTTGATAGATTCTGTTAATACCAGGATATGGGTTCTTTAATAGTTAATACATAACATATTATGCAGCAGACAATTTACAAACGGAAAGAGCAGCTAACCTTCCTTGTCCCATTTAGGTAAACTCGTGGATTTGGAATAAGGGACGCAAGGTGGTGATAATGTTTCTTACCTATCCAAGATCCAGCAGAATCATCCACTTCTAACATCGAGTCCTGACTCTTCAGTTGAGGGAGCAATACAGCAGTAAACCCCATTACTAGCCCCATATTCGACATGTTGATTGATACCCCAGCTGTTACAAAACACTGTAATAGTAATTAATTTTATGTTCTTTGTTAACTGTATGAAAGACGACTGCATGCAACTGAAATGCAAATGTTGAGATGGATGTGTGGTGTGACAAGAATGGATAAGATAAAGAATGAATGCATTAGAGGAAGTATGAAAGTGGCGCCGGTGTCAGAGAGGTTGAAGAGTCATCGTCTCTCATGGTATGGACATGTAATGCGTAGGAATGAGGATAATATTTTAAGGATGGTGTTACATATGAATGTGGATGGTTATAAGGGCAGAGAAAGGGCAGGGAAAATTACACCTGATAGTTGGCATGTATATATTTACTCAAATCTGAAAAACAGTATGATTTAGTATTTATTTTTAATTATAATTGTAATTTAATTTATTATTTATTTTTAATTGTAATTTAATTTATTATATGACTAATTTAATATTTTATTGTTAAATTTGATTAGTTATTCTATTCCGAATGGACATATTTGTGCTTAATTTTGGTAAATTTTTATTATTGTTTTATATTATGTTGACATCCATAAAATTGTTATATGGGGCCTGACCAAAATAGATTTACTTAAATAAATCAATTTAAGTCAAACAGAAATGTAAAAGATTAACATCTGTGGAAAGAAAAAAAAGGGCAGATAAAGGCCGAAAAAGAAATGGATGTAAGATGATATGGTAAGAAAGCACAAGGAAGTAAATAACGCGATATGTTTTGGCTTTTAAATTATTATTAGATAATATTGTGGATGAGAATACTAATGTAATGCTGAATAAATGTCTAAACTATTATTATTATTATAAAATAAATAAATACTAGTGGTCGCTCAGCCGTCCAAATTCAACCACAATAAAAAAAGCAAAAATAAAACCAATAACTTTAATTCTTGTTGCTGATTCAGAAACCTTTTTTTATGCATATTTAAAAAAAAGTATTTTGCACTCTCTATCGTTTTTTATGTCCACTTTATGGTTACTAACAAACTTCTTCCACTCTGAGATACAAATTCCAATAAGTAGATTTTCTGCCGTTACAGAGGTTATAAGTAAGTGTGTCTATCTAGACTCTAGATAGACACAAGTCTTTGTGTCTCTAGATTCTAGAGACACAAAGTCTGGGCATTGACAACTTATGAATTAAAACAAAATTTCGTACCCAAAGAGGTGTGCAGTAGACTTGTGTCTATCTAGACTTTAGATAGACACAGGTGTTCGTATCTCTAGATTCTAGAGACACAATGTCTTGGCATTGACAACTTATGAATTAAAACAAAATTTCAATGTTTACATATTAACAGCTGTGTAACTTAAAGATTAAACAATTACACTAACCTGTACCAAAAATGGTGAAATCCATGATTTTGACTTCATTATTTAAATTTAAACTACGGAATTTATTAAAATGTTATCATTATAAAAAGAACATCCATAAACTGTAACGTTGTAATAACTTCAACGAAAATTATATATTAATACTTAGATAACGTGTTCAAATACATTTACCATTTTTATTTATATAAGGCTTCTGTTAAATAATTGTATTAGGTATGTTTATATAATACTATATATAAAGTTCTTTAGAAATGTAGTGACATCTTACGGTATCTAAAGCAGCCCCGGATCTAAAAGGGGGAACACGGGTTCCGTGCCCCGAGAGACAAATTCGAACTTGGCTGATGAAACACATTTTAGACGCACCTTTTACAACTTGACCTCTTACGGACGTCAGTCGTTGAAAATGAAGACATGACTGTTAAAAAGTCACAATTATTATTAGAAAAACTAATTGTGCAAATTACGACGGCCGATAGAGATCAGTGGAAGAGAATGGCATACTGCGCCGACCACAAATAATGGGATAAAGGCAAGACAATGATGATGAATTGGACAATTTAACATAATATTATATATGTATATTGTAAAAATGTTTGCCGGACGGCGAGTTCAGGGGAGTGCTATGTTATATATTAATTTTCGCACCACCTCAAAAATAATTAAAATCGGGAGCCGGTCTAGAGGTAAATAAATATAATGAACGCCATCTGTGTTGGCAGTTTTAAACTACGTACAAACATACTATAGAAAACTGAATATTTCATGAAATAGTCGAGCATGCTATTGTTTTTATTTCATGATGTAATCATCTATTACAGTTGAGCTATTTGCTAGTTTTTCTTAACTGAACAGTGAAATAAAATTTGGCGCGCGCTATTAATAAAAATGTGAATGTAAATTTGACTCTATTCTTCGCATTTAGCCGCTGATCTTGGTCTTTGTTCATGTAGAGCCAAGACTACTAAAGTAGTCAGCCAAGCTCTTCTCAGAAGCGCAAAAGCCTAATGGCATCTTTACAGACTTTACGGTGCGACCTTACTATTTTGAGGATTCATAACAATGTAATCCAACGCAGAAAACTGTGAAGAACTCCCTTATTAGTTTGTAAAAGATATTGTATATAGCTATAAATAATATTATGCAATTATACTTATAATCATATATTTCATTATATCATACTGATATATAACAGTTCATATAAAAAAGGTGGACAAAATATAATATAAGCTATTTTATACTTACAAGTTATCTTCTGTATTTATTCACCAATTTATTTATATACATAGCCGCTATAGTTTTGGTATCTTGTTCTATTACATTACTGGTGTCCAACAAATTATTGGGTATATTATCACAGCCCTAATTACTTTCAATACTTACAGGTGCTTCCAATATCTACATTTGATTAAAAAAAATAAGAATACTATTTAGGTAAAGGACATTGTCGTCCTCTCAATTCCTCTTCAATATCTTGCAACGTCCTATCTTTCGTTTCCGGTAACAATATGCCTACTATAAATAAACAATAACCTAGTACACATCCATATAACAAATATGCTAATGAGAAGCCTATTGAGCTAAATAAAACAGGTATAGTTTTAACAACAACGAAAATGTTTAAAGACATAAACAAGGAACTAATTCCACCACACAAACCTTTGTATTGCATAGGATACAGTTCACCAGATAGCACATATGATAAAGGCAACGCTCCTGTTGCTATGGAGAAGACGTGAATATGAACCAACACAATACCAATGTAAGGACTATCGTATGGCAGTAAATTATTCTCTTTTCCATACGTATATCCAGCTAAAATTAAGTACATTATTATATTCAATGGTACTGTTAAAAATAACAGCAGCCGTCTTCGAATCTTCTTTATTATGATCAAACTGATTGTACTAGTAATCAATCTTTGTATGTCTATTGATATTACTATTGTTGCAACGTTGACTTCAGAACCAATAACATGTTCCACTAAATCTAATGTATATGAAGTAACTACGTTCGATCCACTCCATTGTGCCATCGTATAAAGATGCAACATTATAATTATAGGCTTATAGAAAGCTCTTTCTTTTACTGTAACCTTTATATAACTTAAACTAGCTTCTAATCTGTTAAAAATTGTCTTCGATACATCGCTGGTTTCCTTTTCTTTATTCACATCGACATCAGCTGTTATCATTTTCTCTAATTCATCGTTTTCATTATCGCCTCTTAGAGCTCTGAATTCTTTTCTACATTCGTCGTATTTACCTTGATTTGATAGCCAACTCGGCGTCTCCGGTGTCAATAGCACAATAAGTAAATTTAATAAAACGAATACAATACATATATAAGAAGTTGTTTTCCAATTCAAATAGATTCCTATCGTATGAATTAAAAATACTCCTAAACCTATAGATAATGATAGAGTCATCAAGAATGCACCACGATTTTTAGGGCTGGTACATTCGCCGATTATAACTGGGCCTAAAATTGTGATCATGCCCATTGGGATACCTTGTAAGAATCTAGCGGCGATCATGAACTCGACACTATTTGATAATATGAGGCACACCCATCCAAAAGCAGATATAGTTGTAGTAGTGAGTATTGCTATTTTCCTTCCAAATTTGGTCATTATTGAAGGTACGATGCAGTTTCCAACGATAATAGAAAATGCAGGGATGGCAGCTGAAACAATAATGAAGAAATGTTTAATAGAATTTTGAAATAATGATTTTTATATTTATAAATTTCGCGTTACGTCTCATCTGGAATAAACTCAACCAATCAAACTACTTTACCAATATTTATAAAATTTTGCTCACGGCGTGTTATTTGATACAATTCAAAATGTTAGTTAATATTAGTAACAATTTTAATTTGTTAATTTGTTAAAATATAGTACGGTACAACAAGTTAGTAGTAATAAATATAGGTTTCATCATATTCTGTTATTTCCCGCGTACAAATTTTAATTAGGTAAAACAATTACATTAAGTATATAAAATTATTAATATAGATATACAATCGCCATAAGTAAATCATGATATTGTCTGTGATAAAACTCTTATACAGCATAACGTAATTTATTTATGAGTTCTAAAAACACTTAATAGATGGCTTTGTATATAAATCTATTATATCCAATAGATGGCGGTAAGAAGTCGAACAACTTTTTCCTTGTCAGTACCTAATACACAGAGCAGCGTAGGACCAATTGTCGTGAAGATCTTTGGGGGAAGTCTTTGTTCAGCAGTGGACGTCTTCCGGGCTGAGATGATGATGATGATGATGAATATATAGAAAGGTATTAATATCTATATTTGTGTATTATATGCTATATACTGATAGATAGCACGTATTAATGAAATAATCCCATTGTTATGTTCTCACCTATCCACGATCCCGAGGAGTCATCTATTTGTATAGTTGAGTCTGGTGCCCTCAGCTGTGGGAGTAGCACGGTGGAGAGTCCCAAGACCAGCCCCATGCCGGCCATATTGAGTGCCACTCCACCCGTCACTAAACACTGGAATGGAACAAACGAATTTATGGCTTTTGTATTAGACAAAGTTAAGTTTTTTTATAGCATACACCAAAAGAACAGGTTTAATACCTCTTAAGAAGCAAAAGAGTGAGTTAGGAGTAGATGAATTTTGGAAAAGAATAGCATCGTTGAAGATGAACGCATGGGCCCTTCTACTAACTATATGAAAAAAAATTATATTACATACAACAAAAAATCAGATTGGTTATGAAATTAGTATTGTAAAAATAATCGTTTATTGATTGACCAAAACTGGTCTATGAATTTAATAATTTAATCTATTACATGAGAACAAGATTGTGGGCGTGAACTAATAATATTCAGAACAAAAGATTGCATTGCAATTGTGTGCTACATTTATTGGTAATCTGTTTTCGAGTTTGTAAAAAGGAACTCACTTGTTTCACAAAAGGGGAAAAGTGTGTTACCACCGTAACTCGTGTAGTACAGTACTCACAAGAGCAAAATCGCGGGTAACAGCCATGCAATATTTCATTTTGAATATACCTATATTCAAAATGAAATATTGCATTGCAATTAAGAGATTACATCTATTAAAGTAAAAAATTACTCTTAAACTTAAACTTGTTTCACAAAAGGGGAAAAAATCCCACTATCTCTTGGATTATTATAGTATATACAGGAACAGCGTGGCGGACTTCAAGTAGTTATATTTAAAACTAGTTGTTCCCGCGAATTCATCCGCGTGGAATTTAACTCTATTTTTCTAAAATAAAAGTAGCCTAAGTTACTCCTTATTACATCAGCTACCTGCCAATAAAAGTCCAGTCAAAATCGGTCCAGCCATTTCAAAGATTAGCCGGTACAAACACACAGATATGTACCGTATTTATCTTCATATGCATGTAGTAAAAATTGTTATATCAATATTACGAACAGACACTCCAAATTTATTTATATGTATAGATGAAACATTGCATTGCAATCAAGAGACTACATCTGTTACAATAAAAAATAGCTCCTAAATATGTTTTTCAAATCTATAAAAAGGAACTCACTTGTTTCACAAAAGGGGAAAAATGTGTTACCACCATAACTCATGTAGTATTCACAGAACACCGCTCGACTTTGTAATCTGTACGGACTATAGATTTTATTTCCGTACATGCGAGATGTTAGCAAATCATGGGGAAATATCAACCGAGACGTGCGTGCTCACATCGTGTTTTATAAAAATAAAAATATATTACGCGTAGGGATGTGCCGATACAAGTAGCAGTTTTGTGTCGATACCAGTTTATTTGGCACCGATTCTATTTTCCAATACTTGCTCTGAATCGAAACGAAATTACGAATACGTATCGAATCGAATCAAATCGATATTTTGAGAAGCAATATTTTTCTTATTAATAATATCATTGATAATCATATAAGTTTAGATATGTGATGACCTAAAGAAGGTAATTGGAATGTGAAATGACAGGAAACTTGTTATATTTTAAATGTGAATATATTTTAGATTATCTTACAGTTCTATAATATGATTTAGAAGATATCGCTATGTAAAATTAAGAAAATCTTACCACGTTTTATTATTATATATTTATTGAGTTTCTGATATCTCGTCGGATGTTACAACCATGGCGATTGCATTTAAGTTTAGTTTTATCCTAAATAATGACAGAATCAAATTTTTAAAAGGTGTCGCTGATTATCTATTCGGAGATTTTTATTCATGTAAGTCTTTTACAAATACTTCTAATGACTCCAATCTACCAGCATGTTCGAGCTAAGAAGAACAGTCATGAAACTGAGTACTCACTTATAATCTTATATATAAAATTCTCGTGTCACAGTTTTCGTTCCCATACTCCTCCGAAACGACTTGACCGATTCTCATGAAATTTTGTGAGCGTATTGAGTAGGTCTGAGAATCGGCCAACATCTATTTTTCATCCCCCTAAATGTTAGGGGTAGTCCACTCCTAAATTTTTTTTTTATTTTAAGTCAAAACGTTTGCCGGGACAGCTAGTCTTATATATAAAATTCTTGGGTCACAAAGTTCGTTACCATACTCCTCTGAAACGGCTTGACCGATTTTTATGAAATTTTATATGCATATTCGGTAGGTCTGAGAATCGACTACTATTTATTTTTCATACCCCTAAGTGAGAAGGGTAGGGGTGGACCCCTAACATTATTTTTTTATTTATTGGGCATAATTTTTTATTTATATTTTTGTATTATGTGTCATTAAAAAATACATACAACCCAGAATTTTCACCCTTCTATCACCAACCACTATTTTTTATAGCGTTAATAATTTATATGGCAAAACAACGTTTGCCGGGACAGCTAGTACCTAATATATATAATTACAGAATTTGTTAAACAAAGATAATTCCATCAGCACACATAAGTTTATTAAACTAATACTTAAATGAGTGGCTATCGATAAATTTGGTATCGGAACATCCCTATACAACCGCAGTAGAAGTTTGTTCAAGACGAACGAAATTACTTACGTATAGTGACGGAGCAAGAATACATTTTATTACCAGTTGATGAGTTGTAATGTACAAGACATAAATCTTTGTTATTCCTGCAGGTATGAGTCCGGTATCACGACCATTGTGTCGCAACGGCGGATCCAGGGAGGGGGTAATGGGCCCTAAGTCCCCAGGACTTAGGTGGACCATTAATTGAACATAATGTTTATTTATATATTTTATCACCATACAGATTTTATTAACATCTTTAAGTACAGTACTTACGTACATTAATAAAATACTTACTTTTTACTTGTATCTATTGTTATCAACATTAAATTATAAGTTCTCGACTTGGTCACGACTATGTGACCCCCTCCTGCCGGCAAATCTGGACCCCCTTGTTGTGTCGTCATATCATATCATATTCGTCAAAAAGTCATGACTTCTCGACAATTTTTTTTAGTGGATAAAAATCTTATTCATCTCATTTGTGATCTACCACGAGGTCTGGTGCCTTCCACTTTTCCCTGCACTACGAGACGCTCTATGGAGTCATTACCACGGCGACATATATGGCCGAAGATCAGAATGCGTGACTGCACTGTGATTGATAGGTGCTGATGATGCAGAGTTCTTTAAATATGGAATCATTTGTACTATTCTACTATACAGTCTCGCCTCACCATATTCTTTCTCAACATCTATATACTTTTTCTACAGTAATAAAATAATTTAGACACAATGTGAGTTAAGATAGACCTAGACCAGTTGAACCAGTTGGTTATGTATTCAATATTTTTTCTTTGTTGAGTATTTAATTGAATTAGTGCTAATTGGTGGTTTGTATTCACACACTTAAACTTAAAAATGTAAAGTAATAATAAAATTATTTAAAAGAGCAACACGCAAGTTTCTTGCTCGTTCTTCTTGTGATGAGACAGCTTTCCGAACGAGCGGTAGATTAAAAAAAATGTAATGACTATTCAAAAGTGCTTCAATGTAAGTTTATTTGAATAAATGATTTTCTATTCTATTCTTATTCTATTCTATTCTAGAAGAGATATAATTATTTTACACATAAAAAAAATTGACAAGTCCGTCTCTCGATTCCAGCCATCTTGTTAAATTATATATGCTATTAGAGTAATCTAATAAAGACGAACATAAGTAAGTGCGTAATCGGAGCGGGTCGCTTGTGGATATTAAAAAAAAAATACTACTAGTAACGCACCGCGACTATTTCTACAAATACTTCAATTAATTTACACAAAAACTACCACACTTACTAAGAAAACGCTGTTTTTGTCAGAAAATGCGTTCAGTAGTTTTTGAGATTGTCGCAAACATAAAGACAGATGCGGTGGTAGAGTTTGTTTTATATTATGTACCTATAGGGAAGAAGGGAATTATTAGTACCTAATGTGGACTAATGAACATTGCTAGCAATGTCAGGTTGATCACGCAGTTTCCCCTGAAAATCATCGTGATAAATTCCAAATGAATTTAGATGGAATAACTGACCTGACCTCATGTTCATCTTATCATCCACCACTGACGACCCACTTTTATTATGCCTACATATCAGATGATGAAAACGTAAACGAACGCACTCGGTAGATAGGTTCAAATCATTGCGTAACATTTTCTGCCTGACGACTAAGAACAATATTTACATTGTAGTGTGAGATAAATTTCAATAAAAACCCATTATGAAAGATGATTAATATGAAGGACGCTATACGTTGAACATGAATTAAATAATTAAATAATTGTCTAAACTTATGTTACTTTACTATTGTACAAACTCTGAATAGACTAGTTCTTTTTCAAAAATCATTTATTCATGAAGGACATTTTATTTATTATATGACGACCTCGGTAGTCTAGCGGTCTAGCACACCGGTTTACGACCGATGGTTGCGGGTTCGATTCCTTGCACGGCACAAACATTTGTATTCATGAGTATGATTGTTTGTATCAGTCTGGGTGTTTTCTATGTATAATATGTATTTATTTACAAAAAAAATATCTATGTATATGTATCAGTTATCTAGTACCCATAACACAAGCTTTAGCTAGCTTAACTTGGGTCTAGATGGCGCTGTGTCATTTTCCTGGGATTATTATTATTAATATTATTTATTTAACTTTAATGCACACAATATACTGAATATATATATATTAGAATAGAATAGAAAATAATTTATTCAAATAAACTTAATTTTATTTGAAGCACTTTTGAATAGTCATAACATCTACCGCTCATTCGGAAAAGTGTCTCATCACAAGAAGAACGAGAAAGAAACTTGTGTGTTGCTCTTTTAAACAATCCTTGTAAGTTCACATTATACAACCAGCACTTAATTTATTAAGGTTAAATATAAGTACACAATAAGATTAAATCAGTCGTAGTGATAAGAGCAGACTAGTCCCTACAAGCAGAACTCGTTCACGAGTATGACGGATGAGCCAGTACAGAGGGCTTAACACCATGCGGCATTTTCTACCAGTCAACCATAGGTGGTGCAGAGAATAATTGTTGACGTAGCAAATATAATAAATGAACAAAATGCAATAAAATATAAACAGAATTTTAGCCGCTTATGAACGTAAAATTTTTTATATTATAATTTTTTCCCGAAGTATTGCGACACTGAAGTGGCAATGGGCAGGGCACATAGCTCGTAGGACAGATAGCCGTTGGGGCAATAAAGTCCTCAAGTGGCGACCACGGACCGGAATACGCAGCGTGGGAAGGCCTCAAGCAAGGTGGACGGACGATCTGGTCAAGATCGCTGGAAGGCATTGGATGCGAGCAGCGCAGGACCGATCGTCGTGAAGATCTTTGGGGGAGGCCTATGTCCAGCAGTGGACGTCTTCCAGGCTGAGATGATGATGATGATGAACAATTTTTTCCCTACCGTTTTTGAAAAAATTGCACATGCTGATGTTCACACTATTCTCCGTAATTTGAATTTAAAAATGAATCTGTATTTTGTAAACATGTACAAGCGTATTTGAAAAGAATAAGAGTTGAGTTTCTTGTCAGTCCTTAGTTCTAGAAAATTCCGAACTGACGGTAAATTTTAATATATCATAAGAGTCTGTAATAAATACATAAATAACCCTGGACTATACTCACAACGTCATCTAGATGGACTAGTCCCACGTTAAGCAGAGCTTGTGTTATGGGTACTGGGCTAGTGATATAAAACTACTTACATTTTGTAAATAGATATCTGTATCTATGCATAGAAAACAACCAGACCGATACAAACAACCTTACTCGTGAATAAAAATGTTTGCACCCTTCGAGGAATTGAACCCGCGACCATCGGTAGTGCGGCGTGCTAAACCTCTAGACAACCGGAGCCGTCAATTCCAATAACTTACCAATACAATTGCAGTTTATCATGATGTTCATCCAATGTGCATAAAATGAATCAATTGATTGTAGGACTGCAATTGAAGTAATGAAACTCAATCACAGAATATAAAGAGTGTCTATATTGTTTTATTATATAACTAGCTACTCACCCCGGCTTCGCACGGGTGTACATGTATTATACATATAAACTTTCCTCTTGAATCACTATCTATTAAAATAAAACCGCTTCAAAATCAGTTGCGTAGTTTTAAAGATTTAAGCATACATAGGGACGGACAGACAGCGATAGCGACTTTGTTTTATACTATGTAATGACTAGCTATACCTGCGACTTCGTCCGCGTGTTATAGTAAGCTTGGGAAAATTTTCATCGTTTCATCTTCAAAATTGACTTTTTCTATACAACCATCATCCCCTATTTTATTTTTACAATCTTTGAATGTCATATTTATTTATATTTAAACAATAGCTTAAAATATAAGTTTTAAACTTCTAGCTTTAAAAACGACGATACTTCCATACAAACTCTCATCTCCCCGTACAACCCCTTACAACACTTTTTCTATATTTATATTTAATCAACAGCCTCAAGTCTTGGCTTCTCTGTACCCTACAACCGAAACACATTTAGCCGCTTTGCAGCGCTGGTATGTATTATAGAATAGAAAAGAATAAGGGACTTAGGTCTTTTTACAAGATCTACTTCGATAATAATCATCATCTAATAACAATTAAATATGTCCTTACCATCAGGCGAGACGTATGCTTATTACTCTAATTTCAAATCAAATCAAATTATTTTTATTCATATAGGTTTTTATTCGTGTATGTAGGATCCTTATGAAATGTAAAATTTACCGTCAGTTCGGATTGCTTTCTAACTAAGAAGACCAGACAAGAAACTCAACTCTTATTCTTTTCAAATAAGCTTGTACATGTTTACAAAAATACAGATTCATTTTTAAAACTCATATTTGTGAGAATAGAGTGACCACTAGCATATGCTATTGAAATTCTGTCAAAAGAAAATAGTCTAAATCAGTGTTCGTAACCAGAACAGACCAGTCCCCACAAGCAGCACCCGTTCACGCGTATGATGGATGAATTTCGTTACAAAAGAATAGAATAGAATAGAATAGGAAATCATTTATTTAAATAAACTTACATTGAATCACTTTTGAATAGTCATCACAGTTTTTTTAATCTACCGCTCATTCGGAAAGCCGTCTCATCACAAGAAGAATGAGCAAGAAACTTGCATGTTGCTCTTATAAATAATCGTTGAAAATTTTCATTTTTAACTTGATGTGAATACAAACTACTGAAGTGTGTGAATAAAAAAATATATTGCTCTTTAAAGAACTAGAACAAACAAAATATTATAACCTCTTTTGTTTTTACTTGGGGAAACTCCTTCATGGAGCTCCACCCTCCACGGGGGAGGGGAACGGGTGCTGTGAGACCCCTACTCATTAAAAGTTCCAAGGTATCCCGATGAAGCACCTATTGCTCACAGGATCGGAGTGACACTACGATAAAATATATAACCTCTGGAAATGCAGATTATTAAAATAAAAAAAAACTCCTAACTTCAGGCGAGCCGTACGCATGTATTTGTGAAAATAGATGAACTCGATGATGTAATGTCATGCCCAATGTTTACAATAAATACATGGTCAGTTATGACATAACTCTGTCCAATATTTCAATACTCTGATAACATAATACTGATTCTATACTATATAATATTATAAAGCTGAAGAGTTTGTATGTTTGTTCGAACGCGCTAATCTCAGGAATTAATGGTTCGAATTGAAAAAACCTTTTTGTGTTGGATAGTCCATTTTTCGAGGAAGGCTTTAAGCTATATAACATTACGCTACGACCAATAGGAGCCGAGCTGCAATGAAAAATATTGCAAAAGATGGGGAATTGAAACGCAGACGAAGTAGCGCGGGTCAACTAGTTATAAATAAAAACAATAAATAAAGTATTCGAGACAACAATTTATAACTTCTAGACCGACTTAAAAACTTGGGCGTTATCAATTTGACTGTATGTTTAACTTTATATTACTGTACGCATTATTTAATTAATAAATAATATTTATATATATATATAAATATATATAAATTTCAAGAAGGGTATATTAAGGTTTTTTTATACTATGATGGTGGCAATCAAGCTTACGGCCCATCGTAAATGGTTACCGTAGCCTATGAACGCCTGAAACACCAGGGGTGTCACGTGCGCGTTGCCGACTCTTAAGAAACCTTAATATACCCTTCTTGAAAAACCCCATGCTGTAGTCTCGTGGGAAAACCTCGGCAGGAAGTTCATTCCACAATCTAAGTGTACGCGGGAGAAAACTCCTCTGAAACCGCACTGTTCGGGACCACTTAGGTTCCAGCGTGTGGGGATGAATTCCCTGTCGATGGCGAGCGGTGCGGTGGTAAAAGGTGGCTGTCGGCATCATGTCGAACAATTCAAAGGTTCCTTAAGAGTCGGCAACGCGCACGTGACACCCCTGGTGTTCAGGCGTCTATAGGCTACGGTAACCGTTTACCCTCAGATGGACCGTGTGCTTGTTTGCCACCTACGTGCTATTAATAAAAATAGAATAGACTAGAAAGTTCTTTATTCAAATAAACTTATATTCAAGTACTTTTGAATGGTTATACTTATTTTTTTAATCTACCGCTTATTCTGAATGCTGTCTCATGACAAGAAGAAAGAGCAAGAAACTTGCGTGTTGGTCTTTTAAATAATTTAATTAATTGTTGTAACTTTACATTTTTAACTTGAATTGTGTTGAATACAAACTACCAATGGGCACTAATTCATTAGAGTCTTAATACGAAAGAAAATTAACAGAGACCAATCAAATTGTTTTCAGTTGTTTCATCGGTTCATCAGTCTGTCAGTTTATGCATATTTTTTACTAGCTTTATATATCGCCCAATTTACATAATATATTTTTAAATTATAACCTATGTGTTATTTTGATCCATAAACTCTATTTCTGCTGCGTGCTGCCACACCGACCACAACATTGTACCTGTCCCGTCTACATTACGCCATTAAGGAGCAGGACATTGTCGATTATATTCGTACCAAGAGTAACCTGACATTGAGGGTGACGCAGTTGAAGTCGAGTCACAACGCGAGTTTCAAAGCGTTTGTGGCCCTGGTCCCCACCGACTTGCTGCCCACCTTCCTGAAAGGGGACTACTGTCCGAAAGGTGTGGTATATCGGCGCTACCGTGGCAGATTGCCGTCTTCAGTGCCGTGATCATACAGACAGTATCAATGTATTAGTTTTTGAATATTATATTATATGTATGTTAGTCTATAAGGTATTTATAATATGGGCCAAGTTGCCTGAAATAAATGAATAAATAAATATTACAGTAATGTTTCATCAAAATCCGTTCAATAGTTTTTGCGTGAAAGAGTAACAAACATCCATCCAAACTCTTTGTGATTATGGATGGATGTTAGAGTATGGATCCATGTTTGTTACTCTTTTACATCATCATCATTACATAGTACAAAACGCTGTCCCTGTCTGTCCGTCTCTATATATGCTTAAATCTTTAAAACTACGCAACGGATTTTGAAGCGATTTTTTTTTAATAGATAGAGTGATTCTAGAGGAAAGTTTATATATAATACATGTATACCTAACCGAAGCCGGGGCGAATAGCTAGTTTATAAGATTAGTAAGATTAGAATAGAAAGTAACCTGGGGATCACCTGATGGTGAGTGGTGACTGCCACCTATGTAAGCGAATTGCACCACGAATTGAGAGAGAAATAAAAACATATTAACCTCAGAACCGATTGAGTTGTAAGAGTCGAAATAAATAAATTAATTTTCCACTGATTAACCATGTGTAATAAAGTGCAATAAAGAATGTTTTGGAACACTACGCGTATGAATTAGCGGGAAAAACTAAATAATTGCTTAGCTGATAACGAGGAATTATGGGCTATTACCATTGACAAAATCATTGCATCATTACAAGCAACACGTAGAAATTTATAATCTTTTAATTAACTAGTACCACACACGAATCTGTATTTATAGTTACATGCGCGCCCGCATCTCGATTACTTCTCAACAGCGTTCAAGATCAAGATCTTGTAAATACGAAAATAAATTCATCAGTCTCACACGGAGATGAGACAGTCCGCACGACTGTCCGTGATTGTTATATAGAAAAAAAATGTCAGCGCCATGTTTTACACCTTTCCTGAAACAAGTATGTATTATTTATTATTAATAATATCATATTATTAAATAGAGTTCGTCTTATTATTAGTCTGTTCTAAAATTAAGTTCGTTTTATTTAAACAACTGCCTTCACAATGCAGTTGAATAGTTTTTCAATACAAGAATTCTGCTTTCAATGCAGTCAAATAATTATATTTATATACACTTTTTTATTATGTAATATTTCGATGCCTATTATCACTGATTCTTTTTCTGATACTTATTTATGAAAACGATACTATATAATACTATATAATTAGAGTTCGTTTTATTTAAACAACTGTCTTCATAATGCTGTTAAATAGTTTTTTTTAATACAAAAATTCATTTTTAATTTTGTCATTAAGTATATATTTTATTAAGTAAAATTTTTATGTCTAAATTGAACGGATTCTTTTCCTGATAATTATTTTTTATAACGATACAATTAAATCTGTGTTAGTCCAAAACGAACGATACTTCAATATAACCACATAACATAATTGATATAACCAATATAGGTTATATTGAAGTATCGTTTGTTTTGGATTTAACTGTCTTTTACACGTGTTATCTGTTCAAAAAATAAAATCTAGATTTGTATTCATGAGTATGATTGTTTATATCGGTCTGGGTGTTTCTTATGTATAATATGTATGTGTTTACGAAAAATATCTATGTATTTGTATCAGTTATCTATGTACCATTGTTTAAACTTATTATTGAGACCGTTGATTAAATATAAATACATATGACAGTAGCTAGCTTAACTTGGGTATAGATGGCGCTGTGTGAATTGTCCTGAGATTATTATTGTTATTATTAAATAAATAAAACTGTTATGCACGAAGTTGCATGTAAAAGCTCTCGTTCAGAATACTAACCCTTACTAATATAATAAATGTGAAAGTATGGATGTTTGTTACGCTTTCACGCAAAAACTACTGAAACGATCATCATGAAATTTTGTACACATGTTCTTGGAGGTATTAGAATGAACATAGGATACTTTTTATTAAAAAAATATTTATAAAAAAACAAAATACCAACATTTGGCTACTTCAGCGACATCTAGCAGCCAGTAATGAAATTATCTATTGTAACGATCTCCGATACTTATTTAATGGATTCGATGCGGGCGAAGCCGCGGCTAAAAGCTAGTAATAACTATTAGGCACATTGATTTAAGAAGAAAAAGTGTAATCCATCACGTTTAAAATAAGTAATCATGTTGCTAAGTAACAGTTTATATGTAACGTGCAACTGATCGGAACGAGAATAAATTATATTTACTGCTGCATATGTATGTATGTATGTGTATGTAATCCGCTGAACATCTCCATCAATAACTTTGTTTGTAAACTGGTTGGATTACAACAAAGTTATGTAAACCTCAGTATATTAGTTAAAACCACAACTGAATCAGTTACACAGTTTCTGAGATTAGCAAGCACAAACGGACAGACATAGACAGCGCAGATATAGCACAGGCTGGTGGACTGGACATTCTATATTCATGCATTAATAAAAAAATATACATAGAAATAAACAAGCGATACAAACAATCATACTCGTAAATACCGTTTTTACCGTATGAGAAACGAACCCGCGACCGCTACAAGTAAAGCAATGTGCTGAATCGATAGAATAGAAAATCATTAATTCAAATAAAATTAATTCAAGCACTTTTATCATAGTTATCATTCTTTTAATCTACCGCTCATTCGGAAAGCTGTCTCATCACAAGAAGAACGAGCAAGAAACTTGCGTGTTGCTCTTTTTAATAGATGTTTTTTTTATATAAATATTTACAGTATAACAAGTAAGAGGCATGTGATAATCAACATAGAAATCGCTACGCACTCATTATTAGTGTAATCAGATAATATTGTCAGTGCTATGGATTTAAAGTTTTTCTATAAAAACATTATTATCGTTAACGAATTCTTCAATTTTATATTTATTTATGGTCGTCGTAATATATTTTTCTCTTCCATTCATCCCTGTTCGCAGTCATCGCGTTATTTACTTTCTTTCCTTTCTTATCATCTTTTACACAGTTCATCCATCTCTTTTTCGGCCTTCCTCTGCCCTTATAACCATCCACATTCATTTGTAACACCTTTCTTAAAATATTATCCTCGTTCCTACGCATTACATGTCCATACCATGATAGACGATTACTCTTCAACCTCTCTGACACCGGTGCCACTTTCATACTTCCTCTAATGTATTCATTCTTGTAGTTGTATAGTATATACAGCACTGTAATTATTATTTCAAACATTAATGAAATTGTTAATGCAACTTAATGTGGCAATGTTTGAAATCAATTAACGTTAATATAAATAAAATTGGAGTGTCTGTTTGTAATATTGAAAAAACCGTTTTTTACTACATGCATATAAATACACCAAAATATATTTTTTTACAATTTTCATCTGTCTGTCTATTTGTTCCGTCTAATCTCTGAAATGGGTGGACCGATTTTGACGGGACTGTTATTGGCAGGTAGCTGATGTAATAAGGAGTAACTTAGGCTACTTTTATTTTAGTAAAATAATGGCATATTCCACGCGGACGAAGTCGCGGGTGCAGCTGATATATATTATAATTCTGCTTATTTAATAACAACTGAAATAACATGTTTAGCAATTGTGATATGAAATGTTGTGCAAGATTTTAAATTACTATACCAGTATCATTCAATGAGATGTCTACATTACTGTACCACATGATATCGTTGTCATAATCCTTTAATTACTATAATGATATAATGAGCTCAATAAAACAAAGTTTCCTTCCACCTAGGGTTGCCAGCCATACTTTATAATAACACTAGCTTTAGCCCGCGGCTTCGCTCGCGTTAATTTATCCCCTTATGGGTGGAATTTATCAAAATCCTTTCTTAGGGAATGCCTACGTCATAGTAGCTTTATGAATGCAAAGTCTCAGCCCGATCGGTTTAAAATTGACAAAGTTTCATACGAACTTTCATACCCTATTTTATCCCCTTGTAGGTAGAATTAATTAAAATCCTTTCTTAGCTGATGCCTACGTCATAACATCTACCTGCATGCCAAATTTCAGCCCGATCCGTCCAGTGCTTTGGGCTGTGCGTTGATAGATCACTATGTCAGTCACCTTTGAGTTATATATATATAGATATCCTATTTTATTTTTGGTATATTAAGGTTTCTTAATGGTCGGCAACGGCGCGTGATACCCCTGGTATTTCAGGCGTTCATAGGCTACGGTAACCATTTACCATCAGATGGGCCGTATGCCTGTTTGCAACCATCGTAGTATATAAAAAAAAAGTATGCAAAAATACTTTATTTCCAACCTTTAGAATAGAATAAGAATAGAAAAGAATTTATTCAAATCAACTTCATTTAAGCATTTGAATAGTCATAACAATGTTTTTAATCTACCGCTCAATCGGAAGGCTGTCTCATCACAAGAAGAACGAGCAAGAAACTTGTGTGTTGCTCTTTTAAATAATCCTTGTAAGTTCACATTCACAATTCGAAACGCGTGAATACAGTACTTACTGTGATGCTTAAAACAAAATACTCATTATGGATACTTAACGATTTATAATTACTGAACGAAATGTTAGATGTCAATTGTGAGTCGTTACATTTGTCGCAGCTCAAAATACGTTTTTAGAGCAATAAAAACATGAAATTTAAAAAATACTTTTTTTTTTCTAATACTTTGTTTTTCCTATGCAAACCAGTTTTATGTTTTTTTTTTTTGTGAAAAAAAATTGCCAACCCAATTCCACCAAATACTTTTTTTTTTCTAATACTTTATGGTTCTCCTATGCAAACCAGTTTTATGTTTTTTTTTTTTGTGGAAAAAAAATTGCCAACCCAATTCCACCATATAAAAATACAAAACTGTCTTTAAACTAGCATTTGAACTGAAGCGAACCACGGCGCAATTCGAAATGAAACGTTATTTATTCCCCGTTTTTTTTTAACATTATAATATTTTCATTTTATGTATGACTAACTGTTCCCGCGACTTCGTCTGCGTGGAATTTAACTTTATTTTTTTTAAATAAAAGTAGCCTAAGTTACTCCTTATTACATAATCTACCTGCCAAAAAAAGTCTCGTCAAAATCGGTTCAACCATTTCAGAGATTAGCCGGAACAAACAGATAGATAGCCAGACAAAAATTGTAAAAAATGTTATTTTGATGTATGTACCGTATTTATATTCATATGCATGTAGTAAAAAACGGTTATATCAATATTACACACAGACACTCCAATTTTATTTATATGTATAGATATAGATAATGGAATAAATGGAATGATGCACCCGTCTGCGTGTGCATCATTCCATTATCTATTATCATTATTGACGATTTACGCTGGTGGGACAGTGGAGCATGATAAGATGAGCATGAGGTCAGGTCAGTTAGTCCATCGTGACAAATTCCACAAGAATTTATTACGATTGTAAGAAGCACTTAATATGATTTCCAAAAAACAGCGATATTCATTATATTAATACTAGATTTAAAAACAAACTTGCTGTCCCCAAGTATCGTTTAGAAAAAGGTAATAGGTCTTTTATGGGAATAGGTATAAAAATTTACAATAAGATATCAAAGGATATGTTGGAATTACCCTTAAATAAATTCAAAACATCTGTTAAATCATATTTACTGAGCAAAGCCTATTACTCACTAAACGATTACTTGAATGACGAGTGTGCATGGCAATAGTTGTTCATGCACGGGATTTTCATTTAATGTTAGACATAGACACCTACATAAATATACATTGTAAATAAACTGGCTTTAAAAAAAAAAGTAATTTAACTGACTTTCTTGCCAGTTCTTCTCTCTTCTTCGATATATATACCGAACTGAACGGTAGGGAAAAAAATTAATTATAATGTAAAAATTTGACGTTCATAAGCGGCTAAAATGCCCTACATGAATAAATGATTTTTGAATTTTTTTTTGATGGACGACTGAGGCTTTGAAGCCGGCTACCGTAAGGGAAACCCCAAGTAGCGCCCGTGACTTGTGACACGGGTGTAGGTTTAAAAGGCCCTTTTAGAATGCATTAACACTCACCTTCACTACTTGCAGCTTCCCCCCAGGCCCAACTAAGACCGGGATAAACCCATTGCTAATACAATTCACTTTAATATCCAAAACACAACTGGCACGCTCTGCGCTCGACGACTGAATGCCGCGGCTCACGCAATGATAGAGGATTATTCAACTACCGACCTCCGTATTTATAGACCATACTCAGTGTAGTAGGTTGGTCTATAAATACTAGATGGCGCTATTTACAATATTCGTAATAATCCTTACATTGGGTACTTCATTAGTACTAAAAACAAACTACCTTCTTTTAATATATTTTTAAAATATCGGATTTTTTCTACAATAATGATGTGAATTCTAACACGATGTTTTCCAGGGGAACCGCGTGGAGGTCAACCTGACATGGTGCATTTCTAGCAATAAAATCATTAGTCCACATTACTAACAATCCCATTTCCCCTCGTATTTTTCATATTTTCATTGTAGCTCCCGTCTTATTACCAACAACCTAACTTTACTTCTTTATAGTATAGATATACTTGATATGTATGAGTGTCTGTTTGTAATATTGAAATAATCGTTTTTTACTACATGCATATGAATATAAATAAGGTACATATACTAAAATAACATTTTTTACGATTTTTGTCTGTCTCTCTGTCTGTTTGTTCCGGCTAATCTTTGAAATGGGTGGACCGATTTTGATGAGACTTTTATTTTAGAAAAGTAAAGTTAATTTCCACGCGTATGAAGTCGCGGGAACAGCTATATAAAACAGCAGCTATATAAATAAATTCGTTTGTTCCATTCCAGTGTTTGGTGACGGGTGGAGTGGCACTCAACATGGCAGGCATGGGACTGGTGTTGGGACTCTCCACCGTGCTACTCCCGCAGCTGAGGGCACCAGACTCGACTATACAAATAGATGACTCCTCGGGATCTTGGATAGGTGAGGACATATCAATGGGATTTTAGGATAAATCAGAGCGATGTATGTTTGTATCTTTGATGGCATCTTGTTGTGGGGACTGGTCTGTTCTGGTTACCGCCTTAAATTATTTCCTTTGACTATAATGCAATAGCATATGCAAAAAAATCTTCCAAGGCACGCCCTTGGAAGATTTTTAATTGACCGCTCATTAGGAAAGTTGTCTTATCACAAGAAGAAGGATTTGTTTAGGTTACGGCCATTGACAATATGTCCTTTTGGTAATAATGCAATAGCTTATGCTAAGGGCGTGTCTTGGAAGATTTTTTTATCTACCGTTCATACGGAAAGTTGTCTCCTTACAAAAAGAACGAGCAAAAATTGCGCGTTGCTCTTTTAAATAATTGTTGTAACTTTACATTTTTAAATTGAAATGTTTGAATACGAACTAGAATTGATTTGTTAGGGTCAAAATATTAAATCTATACAAATAAAATTGGAGTGTCTGTTTGTAATATTGAAATAACCGTTTTTTTACTATATGCATATGAATATAAATACGGCACATACACCAAAATAACATTTTTTACAATTTTTGTCTGTTTGTTCCGTGTGTGTGCTAATCTCTGAAATGACTGGACCTATTTTGACGGGACCTTTTTTGGCAGGTAGCTCATGTAATAAGGAGTAACTTAGGCTAATTTTATTTTAGAAAAATAAAATAAAATTCCACGCGGACGAAGTCGTGGGTGCAGCTAGTATACAATAAGATTAAATCAGTCGTAGTGATTAAAGCAGACCAATCCCTACAAGTAGCACTCTCACAAGTATGACAGTTGAGCCACCCATCACTGCGCTCAACCATATTTTACTTATACGATTCCTATTTATATTATTCAAACATTCAGTTTAGATAAAATAAATTATCTAAGACTGTTACAATAAGTGTAATAGTAATAATATTTCTATCAATTGTTTCAGCCGCCATTCCTGGATTTTCAATCATTGTTGGAAATTTCATAGTGCCTTCTATAATGACCAAGTTCGGAAGAAAAATAGCAATACTCACTACTGTAGCCATATCAACCATTGGATGGTTGTGCATCGTGTTATCTAATAGCGTCGAGTTCATGATCGCCGCCAGATTCTTACAAGGCATCTCAATTGGAATGATCACAATTTTAGGCCCAGTTATAATCGGCGAATGTACCAGTCCCAAAAATCGTGGATCATTTTTGATGACTATATCATTGTCTATAGGTTTTGGTGTATTATTAATACATACTATAGGAATTTATTTGCATTGGAAAACAACTTCTTATATATGTATAGCTTTTGTTTTATTAGATTTATTTATTGTATTATTAACACCAGAGACTCCAAGTTGGTTATCAAGTCAAGGTAGATACAGTGAATGTAGAAAAGTATTTAGATCTTTAAGAGGTGACGCTGAAGAGGCAGAATTAGAGAAAATGATAGAAGCAGATATCGCTATAGATAAAGAAAGGGAGACTGGAGATGAGCCTAAAACGTTTGTTGATAAAATGAAATCTAATTTCCATTACTTAAAAGTTACAGTAAAGGAAAGAGCATTCTGTAGACCTATATTTATAATGTTGCACATTTACACAATGGCACAATGGAGTGGAGTCAACATAGTAACATCGTATACGTTAGATTTAGTACTCCGCGTTATAGGAAATGACGTCGACGTTGCAGCAATGGTAATATCCATTGATATACAAAGACTAATTTCAAGCACAATCAGTTTGATCATAATAAAGAAGATTCGAAGAAGGCTGCTCATATTCATAACAGTAACTTTGAATATAATAACGTTCCTAGTTTTAGCGGGATATACGTACGGGAAAGAGAATAATTTGCTGCCATACGATAGTCCTCACATTGGTATTGTATTAGTTCATGTACACGTCTTCTCTATAGTAACAGGAGCTTTACCTTTATCATATGTGCTATCTGGTGAACTGTATCCTATGCAATACAAAGGTTTGTGTGGTGGAATCAGTTCATTATTTATGTCAATAAATGTTTTTCTTGTCGTTAAAACTATACCAGTTCTGTTCAGCTCATTAGGCTTTCCATTAACATATTTATTGTACGGATGTGTAGTTGGGTATTGCTTATTTATAGTAACCATATTCTTGCCAGAAACGAAAGATAGAACATTGCAAGATATTGAAGAAGAACTGAGGGGAAGAAAATCTTTGCCTCAATAAACTTATTTAGAGAAAGCAATTGTGGAATTGTTTATATTTATGGCTGTGATTTGTGATAATAATCAATTGCTGACAGCCGGTCCTGTCGTGAACATGGTGCTAAAATTAGGCAAATAAAAAAAGAAAAACAATTAGTTCATATGTAAAATAATATTTGTATATATTTAAGTATGATAAAGTCCAGTAAGAAACACTATAAAGCTTTAATAAATAAAATTCTTATACAACAAAATTTTGTTTCATTATACATATTACAAAATTTCACATAATTGATGAAAAACAATAGTAATAAATAAATATATACTTATGACAATACATACAAAGTATCCATTTATATAGAATGGATACTTTCTTCATGAAGTAAATAAACAGTGCTGTCTAGAGACTAGTCTCAAACTAAGCGGAGATTGTATTATGGGTACTAGACAGGGCCGGATATACCTAAGGGCTTTTTGGGCTGCAGCCCAGGGCCCCGAGGTTTCAAAGGGCATTTCCCATTGAAACGATATTTAAAATATAGAAAAATATCTAGAATGTTAAAAAACCTATCATAAGGTTGTAGAGCAAGAGCCCACGACTGCCAGACATACGTCATTTTAGTAAACGTGAAAGTTCTTGTATGTGTGTCCCCAACACAGGAAAGAACGATCCCCAAACATGAAACCTGGATCGTGGTTCCTTTGGCAGGTACCAGGTAACAAAGGTGTAAAAAAATTCATATCAAATTCGTTATTTAAAGAAACTCCATATTTTCATATGTTGTTCGTAGCATTATTATAATTTGCGCTGCTCATTGCCAGACACGTAGTGTGGTTCCAACCCCCCGCCGGACCCCCCTAAACTATACTATTTTAGAAATAAACTTACGTCATTTTAATAAAGCTGAAATTTATATATATTATTGAGAGTTCTCTCAAACTGAGTTTCCTAAATTGCCAGACAGTTTTCTTGGTTCCTTATCCTACCAGACTCATTGAAACCGTATATTGGGTAACAACGGTGTATACAATTTCATATCAAATTCGTTATTTTAAGATGTTCCATTTTTTCACATATTGCTCGTAACAGTATTATAACTTGCTCTGCTCGTTGCCAGACCCTTAGTATGGTTCCAACCCCCCGCCGGACCCCCCTAAACTATACTATTTTAGAAATAAACTTACGTCATTTTAATAAAGCTGAAATTTATATATATTATTGAGAGTTCTCTCAAACTGAGTTTCCTAAATTGCCAGACAGTTTTCTTGGTTTCTTATCCTACCAGACTCATTGAAACCGTATATTGGGTAAAAACGGTGTATACATTTTCATATCAAATTCGTTATTTTAAGATGCTCCATTTTTTCACATATTGCTCGTAACAGTATTATAACTTGCTCTGCTCATTGCCAGACCCTTAGTGTGGTTCCAACCCCCCGCCGGATCCCCCTAAATTATACTATTTTATAAATAGACTTACGTCATTTTAATAAAGCTGAACTTTATGTATATTATTGAGAGAACTATTAAACTGAGTTTCCTAAATTGCTAGACAGTTTTCTTGGTTCCTTATCCTACCAGCTCATTGAAACCGTATATTGGGTAACAACGGTGTATACAATTTCATATCAAATTCGTTATTTTAAGATGCTCCATTTTTTCACATATTGCTCGTAACAGTATTATAACTTGCTCTGCTCGTTGCCAGACCCTTAGTATGGTTCCAACCCCCCGCCGGACCCCCCTAAACTATACTATTTTAGAAATAAACTTACGTCATTTTAATAAAGCTGAAATTTATATATATTATTGAGAGTTCTCTCAAACTGAGTTTCCTAAATTGCCAGACAGTTTTCTTGGTTCCTTATCCTACCAGACTCATTGAAACCGTATATTGGGTAAAAACGGTGTATACATTTTCATATCAAATTCGTTATTTTAAGATGCTCCATTTTTTCACATATTGCTCGTAACAGTATTATAACTTGCTCTGCTCATTGCCAGACCCTTAGTGTGGTTCCAACACCCCGCCGGATCCCCCTAAATTATACTATTTTATAAATAGACTTACGTCATTTTAATAAAGCTGAACTTTATGTATATTATTGAGAGAACTATTAAACTGAGTTTCCTAAATTGCTAGACAGTTTTCTTGGTTCCTTATCCTACCAGCTCATTGAAACCGTATATTGGGTAACAACGGTGTATACAATTTCATATCAAATTCGTTATTTTAAGATGCTCCATTTTTTCACATATTGCTCGTAACAGTATTATAACTTGCTCTGCTCATTGCCAGACCCTTAGTGTGGTTCCAACCCCCCGCCGGACCCCCCTAAACTATACTATTTTATAAATAAACTTACGTCATTTTAATAAAGCTGAAATTTATATATATTATTGAGAGTTCTCTCAAACTGAGTTTCCTAAATTGCCAGACAGTTTTCTTGGTTCCTTATCCTACCAGACTCATTGAAACCGTATATTGGGTAACAACGGTGTATACAATTTCATGTCAAATTCGTTATTTTAAGATGCTCCATTTTTTCACATATTGCTCGTAACAGTATTATAACTTGCTCTGCTCATTGCCAGACCCTTAGTGTGGTTCCAACACCCCGCCGGACCCCCATAAACTATACTATTTTATAAATAAACTTACGTCATTTTAATAAAGCTGAACTTTATATATGTATATTATTGAGAGAACTATTAAACTGAGTTTCCTAAATTGCCAGACAGTTTTCTTGGTTCCTTATCCTACCAAACTCATTGAAACCGTATATTGGGTAACAACGGTGTATACAATTTCATATCAAATTCGTTATTTTAAGATACTCCATTTTTTCACATATTGCTCGTAACAGTATTATAACTTGCTCTGCTCATTGCCAGACCCTTAGTGTGGTTTCAACTCCCCGCCGGACCCCCCCAAACTATACTATTTTATAAATAAATTTACGTTATTTTAATAAAGCTGAACTTTATATATGTTATTGAGAGAACTATTAAACTGAGTTTCCTAAATTGCCAGACAGTTTTCTTGGTTCGACAACGAGCAGAGCAAGTTATAATACTGTTACGAGCAATATGTGAAAAAATGGAGCATCTTAAAATAACGAATTTGATATGAAATTGTATACACCGTTTTTACCCAATATACGGTTTCAATGAGCTGGTAGGATAAGGAACCAAGAAAACTGTCTAGCAATTTAGGAAACTCAGTTTAATAGTTCTCTCAATAATATACATAAAGTTCAGCTTTATTAAAATGACGTAAGTCTATTTATAAAATAGTATAATTTAGGGGGATCCGGCGGGGGGTTGGAACCACACTAAGGGTCTGGCAATGAGCAGAGCAAGTTATAATACTGTTACGAGCAATATGTGAAAAAATGGAGCATCTTAAAATAACGAATTTGATATGAAAATGTATACACCGTTTTTACCCAATATACGGTTTCAATGAGTCTGGTAGGATAAGAAACCAAGAAAACTGTCTGGCAATTTAGGAAACTCAGTTTGAGAGAACTCTCAATAATATATATAAATTTCAGCTTTATTAAAATGACGTAAGTTTATTTCTAAAATAGTATAGTTTAGGGGGGTCCGGCGGGGGGTTGGAACCATACTAAGGGTCTGGCAACGAGCAGAGCAAGTTATAATACTGTTACGAGCAATATGTGAAAAAATGGAGCATCTTAAAATAACGAATTTGATATGAAATTGTATACACCGTTGTTACCCAATATACGGTTTCAATGAGTCTGGTAGGATAAGGAACCAAGAAAACTGTCTGGCAATTTAGGAATCTCAGTTTGAGAGAACTCTCAATAATATATATAAATTTCAGCTTTATTAAAATGACGTAAGTTTATTTCTAAAATAGTATAGTTTAGGGGGTCCGGCGGGGGTTGGAACCACACTACGTGTCTGGCAATGAGCAGCGCAAGTTATAATAGTGCTACGAACAATATATGAAAATATGGAGTTTCTTAAAATAACGAATTTGATATGATTTTTTTTACACCTTTGTTACCTGGTACCTGCCAAAGGAACCATGATCCAGGTTTCATATTTGGGGATCGTTCTTACCAGTGTTGGGGACACACATACAAGAACTTTCACGTTTATTAAAATGACGTATGTCTGGCAGTCGTGGGCTCTTGGGCTAAAAGATTTAAGCATACTTAGGAACGGACAGACAGCGACAGCGACTTTGTTTTGTTCTGTGTAATGATTTGTTTGATGTAGCTGTGTATTGGTCTACCGCTCCCCCTCTGTCCTTCTAATTTTCCCTTAGTAACAATTTTCGTAAATTCATCGTGCCGTATCAAGTGTCCTAACATTTTTCTCTATATCTATATATATATATATATATACGAGTATATATATAGCATATTTGCTAATTTTATTACTATAAGATAATACAAGTATTTAAAATTTCAAATGAATTCAATATTTTGTACGATTAGAAAAATATTTTAATCATTTCATCATTCAGTCATCTTATCTATAATATGATTACAAGTCATCGATATAGTTTGTTTCACGTGTTCCCACGATGCTGCCACTGTTAGGTGCCTCGCCGGATGGTTAGGCCGATCCGTCAATGTTGGTAATATTGCGGATTAATAATACAATGTTGTCGGTTGAGACGATGTATATTAAAGGTGATAATAGACTGACAATATATACATAGAAATAATGATCTTATATACTAAATGACAATAGGAAAATGTAAGGTGGGGTGACACAGTTTAGACACGGCAGTGCTTAGTACACAATATTGGATTTGTCTTACTAGACATTATTAAATGCAATTATTATTTTGATGGATCCTAGGTAACTGTGTTCCATAGGTAATATTAAAACTTTCTGCTGATGTGTCATAAAATATATTCTTTGTAAAAAAGCTTATTATAAAATTGAAGAATTTATAAATGATAATAAAATTTTTGTAGAAAGCATCTAACTTAAAATTCATAGCGCTGACAATGTTATCTGATTGAACAGAGATTAAGTGCGTAGCGGTTTATATGTAGATTGTCGCATGCCTAATCCTTGTTGTTAATTAAATATAAGTAAATCAATATTTATTTAAAAGAGCAACACTCAAGTTTCTTGCTTATTCTTCTTGTGATGAATATGCATTCCGAATAAGTGGTAGAATAAAAAAACTTTACTATTCAAAAGTGCTTATATTAAGTTTATTTGAATAAAGATTATTTCTATTTCTATTTCTGCCTCGTATGAATCGTGTATTATTTGAATTTGATGATGATATGACCTACCTCATCTAAATAAGATTTTTTTTACATATTTATTTAATTCAGGCTACATGGCCCATATTATAAATACCTTATAGACAAACATACAATAACAATATAAAAATATGATGGTGTTGTTATGCTACAACGTTACAGTAGTTTAATACGTAAATATTTGTACGCTTGATGTAAACGAAATATTGCATAGGGAAAAACGAGCTTGCGGCTCACCTGATGGTAAGTGATTACCGCCGCCCATGAGCACCCGCAACATCATGGGAATTGCCGCGTTGCCGGCCTTTTGTGAAGGAATAAGTTCTTTTCTTGAAGGTTTTAATATCGTATCGGTTCGGAAATACCTTGCTGGAAGGTGATTCCACTATGTGGTCGTGCGTGGCAAAAAGTTTCTAGAAAAACTTACGGTGGAGGACCGCCTTTCATCCTGATTATTTGATTTTTTAACGCTCATATTTTCATTGCTACTATTGTTGATATATCTTCTTATATATAAAATTCTCGTATCACAGTTTTCGTTCCCATACTCCTCCGAAACGGCTTGACCGATTCTCATGAAATTTTGTGAACGTATTGAGTAGGTCTGAGAATCGGCCAACATCTATTTTTCATCCCCCTAAATGTTAGGGGTAGTCCACCCCTAATTTTTTATTTTTTATTTTAAGGCAAAATGACGTTTGCCAGGACACCTAGTATACTATATATATTGTTATACCACCTACAAAAAATGTACCCACACATTGTTAGCAATAAAGATATATTCTATTCTATTGCATTTTACCCAAAATTATTTATAAAAAAATGTAACCCAAAATCATTCACACAAATGTTACTATTAAAAATAGTTATGGGACACAGGTACATCAATATCACACATGAATTTAATAATGGCTAGTAAGACAAAGTAACATAACATAACAGTCCCGATAGTTTATTTATTTGTTAATAAATATTATGTTCGTTGGTTTCACTATGATATTCCAAGCCGTCCAGCCACCATGACGTTACCAGATAAGGAGACTTAGCAGTTAAAAAATATTACGCTACATAATCATTACTTTCTTATCAATATACGTCTATATGTCAAATTTGATGATTACAATCAGTACTGATATCTGTAGAATCTGCAATTTAATAATCAAATAGCTAATCATTCTTATCACTGGTATTGTCAATCGTCAATTGTTGGTATCGTAATATAGTAGTAGAAAAGAAACGAAATTCAGTTCAGTTTCTTGCCAGTTCTTCTCATTTGGATCTCTATAATGGATGGTAGAGAAAAAAATGCTAATACAAAAGTATGACGTACATAAACAGCAAAAAAATCCTGCATATTCCTGCATCAGTTTTGATTTAGGTTTAGTCTTAAAAAGTGATTTGTAATGTTACGCTTTGAGATGGCACTGGAAACAAGCTAGCCTTGACAAGCCTCTTTTTTATTAAAGTCGTAGCCATTTTGTTGCCCTATCCCAAAGGAGAAATGCTGCAACCGAGCCATGCAGGCGCAGAGTGTCGATGATGGTCAGGTCAGAACTGCTGGAATTAGCGCCTTGTAACTAGTTTTAGATCGTTAGCGATTTTAATTAAAATCGCGCGTAAAAAGAGTCTAATCTTTAATTGTTTGGGTTATTGTCAGGTGGCTGTACCTGTAGCATTGCGACCTACATAGATCTATTGTGCTCGCCCTTTTTCAAAGTTCTCTACAGTCAGGGTTAAGAATTGAATGATATTCTTAGGAGCGATAGTTTTTGAATCGACAGCACTAATATTTATTTATTTTTCAAAAATTTCCATAATGAAATTAGACCTAAATTACCTTGCTTTAGAACATCTTTTTCGTTTCCAGTGTTTCGTGACGGGCGCGGTATGTTGCAACATAATTGGACACGGCTGTGCTCTGGCCTTCCCTGGTATTCTTCTACCTCAGCTTCAACAGCCGAATAGCAGCATCACACTCTCCGAATCTGCTGGCTCATGGCTAGGTGGGTTAGCAGCTTAGCTGGCACTGGACATCGCGTTATTATGTGATGCTCCTGGTTTTTTTATAGCAAAGGGAACAAACGAGCTTAACCGTAAGGCAGATGAACCGCCACCTGAAGGCCTTTTAAGAAGGCATGTCTTTTCTTGAAGATTTCAATATCGTATCGGTTCAGAAATACTATTGCTAGAAGGTGATTCCACAATGTGGTCGTACGTGGCAAAAAGTTTCTAGAAAAACGCACGGTGGAGGACCGCCGTTCATCCAGATGATCAGGATGGTATTTTAGTTTCTGGCGGGTGGTACTAAAACATTATTATTTTATAAAAAAAAAAAAACATTTTCTTAATGGAACAACAAGAAAGTTGCTTTTGCTTGCTGCTTCTTGACTGAAAATTGCATTACCAATGAGCAGTAGCATAAAACAATACTATTAAAAATGTTTATAATTAAGTTTCTGGCGGGTAGTGAAATTTAGAAGCTGGTATTAATCATACAACTCATTTATTGCATTCTGGAGAACTAAGAAGTCATGCCTCTGTACCATATTATTTACTTTAAAACCAAAACACGAATTACAAAGTATGCTATTTTTAACGATGTAAATAGATAAGACAGAATTGTCAACACAGACAACTTAGTAGTCTCAATGAGAATATGTTATGGAGATATGAGGTCATTGTATTGTTGTATGTATAGCAATAATCAAAAGTTGTTTCAATACAATCACAATAGCATTGGTACAATCGCAATAGCGTTGGCCTACACTAGGCCGAGCCTGTCCTGTAGGAACCAGAATATGAATTGACTTATAATAATTTTAAGACTAAAAGTACAATTTGTTAAGCTAAAATATCCTAAAATTATCTAGCAAAACTAATATAATAATGTGTGGGGTCGCGAGTGAGTATATGTAAGTGTAATGTGTCTGTGTGTGTAGGTGGTGCATGAATATGGTTGAATGGAAATAATCTTCATTCAAATAAACTTAATATTCACACAATCTTGATAAGTCATATTTTTTACTCTACCACTCATTCATAACGTAGACACATCACAAGAAGAATGAGCACGGAATTTGCGTGTTGCTTTTTTAAATAAATGTTGTAAAGAATTAGATTTTTGAGAATTTTGAGTGAATAAACATGCCAAATAGCAAAGTGGACATAAATAAATAAATTACTTGAGTAACAGAATCAGTCGTGGTTATCTGAGCATATTTTATTTGATAATGTCAAATTTAAAAATCATTTTAGGCGCTTATGATCGTCAAATTTTTTATATTAGATTTTTTCCCTACCGTCCAGTTCAGTATATAGATTCAATTGAGAACTGAGAAGAAACTCAATTGAATGTATTTTTTTTAAAAGCCAGTTTATTTACAATGTATATTTATAAAGGTGTCTATGTCTAACATTAAATGAAAATCCTGTGCATGAACAACTATTTCCATGCACGCTCGTCATTCAAGTAATCGTTTAGTGAGTAATAGACTTTGCTTTGCTCCACAGCGTCTATAAATGGTTTGATGCTGCTGTTGGGCAGTTTCATCATCCCATCCATCATGTCGAACTATGGGCGTAAGAAGGCCCACATAACACTTACCATACCAGCATTAATAGGATGGTTTGTTACCATCTACGCCAACAGTTTTGAGGTAATTATGAAAACAATCCAATTTCTGATTGACAACGTATGATTTTGCGACAAGTTATCTTCTGATAAAGTAATAATTAATATGATAGAATGACATATAATAAGCATATTGGGATTACTTTTTAAAAAGATATTTGTATATCCTTTACCGGGGAATCTAGCCAACAGATTTCGGCAAATGTCGAAGTAGTACAACTACTAGGTCACAACAGTCTCATATACGAAGAAGTATAAAAGAAGAACTGAATGTGCATTCAACATAAAAATAAATTTTGATTTCAGGTGCTATTAATTGGTAGGATATTACAAGGCATATCATTCGGTATGCTGTGTCAACTGAGGTCCATACTTATTGCTGAGTACACCAGTCCAAAGAATAGAGGAGCATTCCTCACTTTGGTCTCGCTAGCGCAAGCCTTCGGACTGTTCTTCGTTCATCTAATGGGATCTCTTCTCAGCTGGCAACAAACTGCGGTGATCTGCGTCTTCTTTCACTTTTTCAGCTTGATCATGACAATCTACTCCCCAGAATCTCCAATTTGGTTAGCATCTCATGGAAAATATGATAAATGCAGAACAGTCTACCGATGGCTGAGAGGTCATGACGAAGAAGAGGAATTAGAACAGATGATTAATTTACAAATACTAATTGAGAAAGCTGAAATTGGTAAAACAGTAAAGAAACACAATTATATTAAAGATTCAATAGCTACAATACAAAAGAGAGAATTCTACATTCCGATAACAATAATGCTGCATGCGTTCTGCATGATACACTTCTCTGGTGGGACCACGATGGCAGCGTACTCCACAAAGATAATAGCTTTAATAATGGGCCCAGATGTAAACGCTCACTTCTGGATGGTACAACTGGACTCTTTTAGACTAATCCTAAACGCATTAGCTGTGTACGTAATAAATAAAGTGAAGAGACGAACCATGTTGTTTTCAGTAGGAACTGTATCTGTGCTATCACATTTGGCAATTGCTGGTTACGCATACTTGAAAACGCACGGTCTACTATCATATGATGCACAATGGATACCCGTTCTATTATTGAATATTAAATTTTCCGCGGTAGCAGTGGCCATGGTGCCTCTACCAAATGTGATAGCTGGTGAAGTGTTCCCATTAGAGTATAAAGGCATCAGTGGAACAGTTAGTAATTGGTCGTTATCTGGATTCATGTTTGTCGTTTTAAAAACATTTCCATCATTAACCGAAAGTGTTGGGATACACGGAACGTATTTCATATATGCTGGAATTATTGCTTACAACTTAATTATAATGTGGTTTATACTACCGGAAACTAGAGGGAAAACGTTGCAGAAAATAGAGGAAGAATTAAGAGGTAGACCTTTAATCGAACTTGATGTAGAAGGTAGAAAATCATTAGATGTAGATACAGAATCATGTAAAATAAAAGAGTCTCCAAGGAGATCTAGTAGTCCTTTAATAAGTTAGTTAAGTTCATAAACAAAACGTGATATAATACGTAACTCATGATATTAAGGTAATTTAGAATAATATTGAGATATTTTTCAAGATCGTAATGTTTATATTGTAGATATATTTGTAATTTATGTAAAGTATGACATGTAATTAATAAAAGAAGCAATTGGAAGTTTTGAACAATGTGACAACAATGATAGAGGGATATTAGCAATAGTCGAAAGGAGTAGATTTGAATAGAAGACTTCCCAAATTCCAGTGCTTGAAGCTCTTACCCAGAGTGCCATTGGAAAACATGGACCTGAGAATTAGTTTAAAGGTTAATTATAATATGTGATCAATACAGTGAACATTAAGCTGCTTGATATACTAGTACATTGAAAAATAAACGCTCAACCATTAGTACATAGAAAATATGCTCATAATCGTAAATATGATCTCCAACAGTTAAATTTAGTTAATAACTTTATATGAACATTTGAAACATTGCGATCAAACTTGATTTGTAATAATATACACCAAACGCAGAAAATGTATTTTCTCAAAAGATTCTAGCTTTAACTAAATTTACAAAGAAATTAATAATATTGTTAAATATGAACACAAATGTATTAAATAAAATATCAAATTTAATGAATAATTTATTACTCTACCTAATGTTATACTGATGACAATAAAATTAACATGACGGTTGTTCTTTCGCCAATTTATCCCTAAAGGAAGGCTTCTTCCAGTACACTTCTTCGATATACTGTAGAGTCTTATCTTTCGTCTCAGGTAGTATTGTCATGACTACAACTAACGCATAAACTATTAGACCACTATATAAACAGTATGTTCCTGGTAGTCCAATATTCCAAAATAGATATGGTAATGTTTTCATTTTAACAGTAATGTTTACAGCAAGAAATAATACTATTATCATACTACTCACACCCTTATATTCCAACGGAAAGATTTCGCCTGCTATAATATTGACTAGAGGTTGAATCCCAGTTCCAACAGTGATTATTAGAAAATAAACCAAAATTGCTGGTATAACGGGATGGTAAAATCCAAAATTACGGTCTTTGGTGTATGAAAAGATAGCTGTAGATAAATAGGCTAAAATATTTAGGCATACAAACATTATGACCATAGTACGTCTCTTAAATTTTGAATGTACAACTATCCCGCATCCTTTAGCCATCAATCTAACAACGTCCATAGCAATCAACCAGTTGTATACGTTGATATCATCCCTTGTCAGCTTGTGGAGTATATCAATACCGTAAATATCCATCATCATAGATCCAGACCAAACATTTATAACGTCCAAATGCAACATCAGTATCAGTGGTTTATAAAATTCGGATTTTTTCGAAATATCCACAACATATTTGCTTTTAGCTGTAATTTTTTTGAGTAAACCTTTTTTGTTTTGCAATTTAGTCTCTTTACGATGCATGTCAGCTTTGATCATGGCTTCTAATTCATCTTCCTCTTCATGTCCTCTCAGCCAGTGAAATACTTTCCTGCATTCATCATATCTCCCACGGGTGGCTAGGAACACGGGTGTTTCAGGTGATAATAATATTATAATTGCATCTAAAACTGTTAAGCCTAAACAAAACATTGCAGTTCTTCTCCAAGTAAGAAGGGATCCAACAGTGTGGACTATCATGGACCCTAATGACAGTGACAGAGTCATCACAGTCAGGAAACCACCTCTGTACTTTGGTGTAGTGTATTCTCCCACTAAAATTGGTCCTGATAAACTTGAGATTCCAAGCGCCATGCCTTGTATGAATCTTGCGAATAAAATTAGCTTCGCATCGTTCGCAAAGACGGTGCACACCCATCCCAAAATCATTATGAGAGAGCTAATAAGATTTGCTTTCCGTCGACCGTATCTGCTTAGTATGAACGGCGTCATTAATGCTCCAGGGATTAATGATATTCCATAAATGGATGCTGAAACAAAATTAATATTAAATGTGATGAATCAATTAAATTTGATTGTATCATCATCATTCATTCATTTATCAAATTGAAATCAATGACTTTGTATAAAGTTACTGGCTTGACTTTGTACTTGTTCTGTCTGTGTCGCCTATTCATAACATATAAGGTTGACCTCCACGCGGTTCCACCTGTAAAATTATACATTGACAGCCGTAATGGTCTAACTGATCTAACATATATATTATACATAGAAAACACCCAGACCGACACAAACAAACATACTCATGAATAAATGTTTGACCGTGCGAGGAATCTAACCCGCGACCATCGGATGTAGAGCGGTGTGCTAAACCGCTAGACCACTGAGGCAGTCAATATAGACATAAATATCATTATGTACAGACATAATCTATGTATTTGCATCATTTATCTAGTATCCCTAACACAAGCTTTAACTAGCTTAACTTGGGTCTAGACGGCGCTGTGTGAACTGTCCTGAGATTATTATTATTATTCTGTCTATGAGTGACGGTTATATCAAAATCATACAGGTGTAGATATTGATATAAAAAAAATATATAAACTATATATAAAAATGTTGTGTGTTCATTAAAACAATATGTAAATAATATATATATATATATATATATACCTTCTTAGTAACTAAGAGAGAACGTAAATAACTGCAACACAGTTTTTATAAACTAATTTAGTTGTTTACGTTTAAAATGTTATTGTTAAAATTGTTTTTGGTTTAAATAAATTCTTTACTTCTAATTCTTTAACTACTCGCCTGCAGACAAACACCGACAGAAGTTTTGCAGGACAACTATCCTTACTAATATTATAAATGCGAAAGTAACTCTGTCTATCTGTCTGTCTGTCTCGCTTTCACGCCGAAACCACTGAACTCATTGAAATGAAATTTGGTACACAGATAGTTTAGATCCTGACAAAGGACATAGGCTTTTTAACGCAAAATAAGGGTAGCAAAGGGTTGAAAGTTTATATGGAAGTATCGTCATTTTACACGGACAGAGTCGCGGGCGCAGATAGTTCTAAATATTTTAAATAAAAAAAAGAAAACTTTTTGTCTATCTATCAAATGTGCCTTGCAGGACAACGATTTTAATATAGTAAAGGAAAAATAGCAGCAGTGGACGTCTTCCGGGCTGCGATGATGATGATGATGATGTAAGGAAAAATAGGACTTTTTATGTGTCTGTTAGCTCAGGTGTGCTAACTTCTATTACTTTCCAGAAAAATAAAGATTTCATTTCTCAGCTGTGCTATTAACTTCTATTGATTTCATTTAAATTATTATTAAAAAAATCCTTACCAATCCACGTCTCTGTATTACTGCTAACTGTAAATGTGGTATCTTCGCGTAGTTGAGGTATAAGTATAGCAGAAAATCCACCGACCAAGCAATGTTCCATCACACTCAGCGAGACGCCAGCAGTCACTAATGTCTACAATAAAATATTTTTGAAGTGAAACTTCTATATAGATGGGGTGTAGGATTTTTCGGTCATGAAAAAGTTTTACCGTGGGGTGGAGGGTTGGTGGCAGCGAAGAGATCCTCAACAGCGGAGCACGGAGACCGAGGAGTCTGCTATCGGGAGAGAGAAAGATGTCTTGTCGGATGAAGTTTCATTTTTATTATGTGTCTAAACTACGGTTGCCAATCCCAAATTTAAAAAACCAGATTGAAAGTTCAAAAAACCAGGACAATCCAATTTAAAAACAGAACGCAGTAATAATGTTGCAATAGTTATATTTATATGTAGTAAAATTGCAAGTAATTAATATAATCGGGTTTTTAATAATAAAATATTTGATAAAAATATTTAAGTAAATAAATATTTAAAATCGTAATAGTAAATAGTTAAAATCAGTACTTAAGAGGCGCGCATATTTTATAAACTCAGGACGGCTGCCAAATAACTATTCAGGACTTCTCAGGATACTTCAAAAATTAGGACATGTCCTGGGAAAACAGGACGATTGGCTACTCTAGTCTAAACACACATTTTTTTACTTCACAACAGCGGCAAGTATACGGCCCATCTGATGGTAAACGGTAACCGTAGCTTATCACCTAACATCAAGAAAGTTATGTGCGCGTTGCGGACTTTTGTGAAATATCATCATCATCATCATCATCGCAGCCCGGAAGAAATGTTGTGAAATATACCCCATGTAGTCTCTAAAGTAAGTAAGCTTGAATTAATATCTTATTTGATTGTCTTTTTATAAATTGTAATTCCAACCATTGTGAATTGTAAGAGGAGGGAACTGGTACCTAAAATACAAGTTTCTACTTAGTCTAGGTACCAGGGAACAATTTGAATTGTAAATCTTGGATGCAAAATAAAAATTATTATTATTATTAGTCTCAAGAAAATCTCGGCAGATAATTCATTCCAGAATCTAAGTGTACGCGGTAAGAAGCTCCTCTGAAATTGCACTGTCTGATTTCTTTAGCGTAAAGATCTCGGACAGTGCAGTTATCTAACTACAAATCTGGTCGTCAAAAACAGTTCCGTACCAAAATTCACCAATTTTTAATTTCTAATCTTCTTTAACATCAAATAGACTCACCTGTCTAAAAATATACGTAACTTTTGGTAACATTTTATATATTTTTACATGTAGTATTTAATTAGAATGCTATAAATTGCGACAGCCGTCCCAAACAATCGTGGATTGGATTGTGTCTCTAAAGAAAGATTATATACGCGTCATCTACCACAAAGAACCAATAATAGTTGTTATCTTTTAATTATACTTCTACATTATACAATTGTTTTACATTTGTATTTAATAAACATGTTATTTACCGACAAAATAAATAAGATTATCCATTGAAAGGTGTAATTGTAAGAGGCTCAATATTTTTTGCATAAATATTATCTGCATACAATAGTATAATATTGAATTCGCATCACATATTGTTTTCTTCTAATCGCATTGCAGCGGAACTGCCTGGGATTCTATTGTACTAATCGCTATTATTCTTTGCAACCTGTTTACATAAACAACCTATTAGCACCTTGAATTGTTATTGTAGATAATATTGGGCAGTACAGTAAACCAGTAAATATGGTATAAATATTAAAAGAATGTCAGTATTAATAAAATTGTCCACATATTCCGCCATTGTTTTGGCATGCAAAAATTTTAGTAATATACATCTATTATTATATATATATATATATATCCCCTCCGATCGATTCCCCGTCCAATTCAAACGGGGATCGAAATTACGACGGTCTGAGCCGAGGTTCGAACCCCTAGTGGTGCCCTCAGACTAAAGTCGTATCCGTCAAGCAGGAGTTGGCCTTCAGCCGCTCCATAAGTCCTTCCATAAGGTTTGGAGTGCCATCTGCGGTCCCTAACGTCCGGTGAAGCTGTAAAGGCCAGCTGCGGCCAACAGCATTACAGTAGTCCGAAAAACAAAATATATATATTATATATATATAAATAATAGATATTTATTTATTAGGTTCGTAGATAGGGCATCAATAAAAGAGGAAAGTAAAATATCTTAATATATTCACAATGAAGTCTAAATTTACAGTCCTTTATTTCCTTATGTTTTTGAGATGACAAGGAACGTAAAATTCAAATGTATATTTTCCTTATATGAACTAATGAGTAATTAACAGTAGAGCTTTTTTTTGCAAAGCAGGAAGTAGCTGTAAAATAGCACATATTATTGAGTGCAAGGATGGCTGACTCATCCGTCATACTCGTGAACGGGTGCTGCTTGTGGGGACTGGTCTGTTCAGGTTGCGAACACTGATTAGATTTTTTGATTTTTTTTAATAGCATATGCTGGAGGTCACTCTATTCTCCCAAATTTGAATTTAAATGAAATAGTATTATTGTAAATATGTACAACATTAAAAAAAAATACGAGCTGAGTTTCTTGTCAGTTCTTCTCATCTCGATATCATTCCGAACTGACGGTAGATTTGACATATCATAAGAGTCTGTAATAGACCTACATGAATAAAGATATTTTGAATTTTGAATTAATTTTTGTTATAGTGGTGTACGAAACACCATACAAAAATAATAATAGAAATGACTTACCTACGTATATAATTTCACTATGTAATTAAAATCAGTGTATAACATCAAGCGCTGACGGGACGTATCTATTATTATATCACACATCCCCGTAGGTTATTAAAAGCAATATGAATCATCAACAAGTGTAGGAACAACCAGGTGGAGTAGGTACTTTAGCTATTTAATTTATTTTATGAAGTTCTTTTTAAATTACACGTATATAAATAGACACCTATATAAATATACATTGTAAATAAACTGGCTTTAAAAAAAAAGTAATTCAATTGAGTTTCTTGCCAGTTCTTCTCAATTGGATCTATATACCGAACTGGATGGTAGGGAAAAAAAATAAAATTAATATGTAAAAATTTGACGTTCATAAGCGGCTAAAATGTCCTACATGAATAAATGATTTTTGAATTTGAATTTCATTTTTACGACATTAAAAAATAATTATTATTTTGATGTATCTTTGTGTCCCATATACCCTGTTATATTTGAATATAATATCCTAAATATTACTAATATTATAAATGATGCTGTCTGTCTTAGTCAAAACATTATTAAATGCAATTATTATTTTGATGTATCTATGAAAGAATGTATGGAAGAATCGTCTTTTTTGAAGCTAAAAGCTTCTGTATAAATATATGACTTTCAAAGTTTCTAAATATTTTACCCTATTTTTAAATAATATAATAATATATATATAGGGCAAATGTAAATTGGGCGATATAATGATAAGTGTGATGCAGACGAAGTCGCGCGGGTGAGCTAGTATATATATACATATATTATATAAATAAGTATTTACCATAGTGATGTTTCTTCCTCTTTTCCTTATGAAGCAGCCTTGAATTAGAACTTCATCAATTTCATTCTATATTAATTACATATTATTCAAATCAGCATTTTTACATAAGTACAAAAAGTCGTTTGTTTTCAAGGCTTGTTTTGTTAACTTACAGTGTTTTCCTTAATCGTATAGAGAATGAGATTATTCAAAAACTAACTGTTACCTGCGACTTTAGCCTATTTTTTTAAATAAAAGATAATATGCTATCTTTTACTTAAAAAACGTACGTAAGATAAATAAATTTTATGAAATGTTGGAACAATTTAAGAAGTTTCTATTAGAAAATCAAAGGATCTAAATCGCTCTGATGAAGGGTTTCTAACTTGTTTTTCAACTAAAATAGCCATACACTCAATCTCACACCGTAACCCCTATAGTAAGGGTATAATGGGGGTGACACCCCTTGACGGAAAAATTTCTTTTTCTCAGCACCCGTTCAAGAAATCTTCATGAAATTGACAATATATGACTATCGATAAACTAATTATAATAATTTTATTTAAGAATTTTTGCAATATTAGATCAAAAACTATACTTTATATATCTAAGAACTATATTTTATATATCTAGTAAACTAGATTTATGCACATGTCCCATTATTTTATTGTAATATTTTTATATATAAAAACTACGTCACGTTGTTTGTCCGCGATGGACTCCTAAACTACTGAACCGATCGCAAATTTGATTTGCACATTGTGTGCAATTTGATCCAACTTGAAAGATAGGACAGCTTACATCTCAATTTATAGTCGCAATATTATTTTATTGCAAGAGCCACAACGGGTGGCCCGGTCTGCTAGATACTGTATATTTTTATACAAAAGATAAGTCTCGATTAGATTACTTGTAATTAGCTTATAAAATTGTCATTAGAAAAATTGTACAGGATATTTATTTTTATTTATTCATCCGAAACAACATAAATTGTATAGGATACCATAATAGTAACTTAAACAGCACAATTTATGTTATCTAGCACAGTACAATAGGTCAACTTAAGTCTTTATGGTGATTATTATAATCTTATATATAAAATTCTCGTGTCACAGTTTTCGTTCCCATACTCCTCCGACCGCTTGACCGTTTCTCATGAAATTTTGTTATTGAGTAGGTCTGAGAATCGGTCAACATCTATTTTTCATCCCCCTAAATGTTAGGGGTAGTCCACCCCTAATTTTTTTTTTTATTTTAAGGCAAAACGTTTGCCGGGACAGCTAGTCTTATATATAAAATTCTCGTGTCACAATGTTAGTTACCATACTCCTCCCAAACGGTTTGATCGATTTATATGAAATTGATATTTTATATGCATATTCGGTAGGTCTGAGAATCAGCTACTATCTTAAAAAAATATTTTAATACCCTAAGTGGTAAGGGATATCCACCCCTAAATATATTTTTTTATTTTATCGACATTATAATTTAATTTAATTATTATTTGGGTTTGAAAAATAGATACAATCCTAAATTTTCACCTATCACCAACCCTTATTTTTTATAGCGTTATTAATTTATATGGCAAAACAACGTTTGCGGGGTCAGCTAGTAATCATATATTTAGTAGGTAGATATAGTAACACTTCTTGCTAATGTCATAAACGCGAAAGTTTGGGAGCATGGATGGATGTTTGTTACTCTTTCCCGATAAAACTACTTAAGGGATTTTAAAGAAACTTTACTTAGTAATATAGCTTGTGTTATATGTAGCTATATGTACATATATACTTCAGAATAACATATATGCTATAATTTAAAAGGATATTATGTAAATTGAGCTAAAACTAAATATATATAACTCAAAGGTGACTGACGTAGTGATCTATCAACGCACAGCCCAAACCACTGGACGGATCGGGCTGAAATTTGGCATGCAGGTAGATGTTATGACGTAGGCATCCGCTAAGAAAGGATTTTGATTAATTCTACCCCCAAGGGGATAAAATAGGGGATGAAAGTTTGTATGAAACTTTATCAATTTTAAACCGATCGGGCTGAGACTTTGCATGCATAAAGCTACTATGACGTAGGCATCCGCTAAGAAAGGATTTTGATTGATTCTACCCCCAAGGGGATAAAATAGGGGATGAAAGTTTGTATGAAACTGTCAATTTTAAACCGATCGGGCTGAGACTTTGCATGCATAAAGCTACTATAACGTAGGCATCCCCTAAGAAAGGATTTTGATAAATTCCACCCCTAAAGGTATAAATTAACGGGAGCGAAGCCGCGGGCAAAAGCTAGTATAATGATAAATGTCACATAAGTGTGAGGCAGACGGAGTTGCGCGGGTCAGCTAGTATTGAATAAAAATGTCCTCAATCTAATTTTAAACAATGTAAAGTATAAAATAGTCTAAATCCAATGGTAAATTAGTAACTGATTTTATAGATTGTTATCGCGTAAATATTATAAAGTCGATTATATATTGGACTCCGCACTAGGCGAACCTGTATCGCGGGAGTCCACAAAAGAATTGCCAGATGATAATAACTGCTACAGATCAGAGAGTAGAGTAGATTTGAAGTAACTATTGTGAATTTGGTCACTATTTGGGACAAACAACTCCATGCTAAATGAAACTCAAAATTATTTTATATAATGTTTTATATTATTTGGTACACATTAATTGGCAGTCTGTCCAACCATACCTGAAGTTATCATCACATATTGATTCTAGTCATTTTTTATATAGTTATTT